GACAGAGGTTTATCCTGGATAAATAAAGGCTATACGAAAAAACGATTCGATAAAAATCCCAGTTCACTTCTTCACCCGTTTGTCATATTACTTTGTGAGCAGTTTTATGAGGTTGAAATACATGGAGCAATTGGTGCATTCACCTTATAGCCAGTGGGATAACCACTTTACAATATGATCACCCCAGAGAACACTGCCACTCCAGCTGCTCTTTCTTCATCTGACTATGTTTTCTCTCATAGTCCGAGAGCATCTGGTCGTCGCGGTGGTGGCACAGGTCTACTCATTTCTCCTAAGTAGAGATTTTCTCTTTTGTCCCTCTCTCAGCTGTCCATCTCCTCATTTGAATTCCATGCTGTCACTGTCACTTTTCCACTCAAGCTTAACATTATTGTCATCTATCACCCACCAGGTGCCCTTGGAGTGTTCCTCAATGAGCTTGACACCTTGATAAGCTCATTTCCTGACGATGGCTCACCGCTCTTCGTACTTGGTGACTTCAACCTCTCGACGTCTGCCTTCGATTTATTTATTTCCAACTCTCTCCCCTCCTTTCCTCCTTTAAAAAAAAATATTTGTTGTACTTTTTACCCCTTTTTCTTCCCAATTTTGTGATATCCAATTGGTAGTTACAGTCTTGTCCCATCGCTGCAACTCCTGTACGGACTTGTTAGAGGCGAAGGTCGAGAGCCATGCGTCCTCCGAAACACGACCCTGCCAAGCCGCACTGCTTCTTGACACACTGCTCGCTGAACCCGGAAGCCAGCCGCACCAAGGTGTCAGAGGAAACCCCATACAACTGGCGACCGAAGTCAGCTTGCAGGCGCCCGGCCCGCCACACGGAGTCGCTAGAGCGTGATGGGGCAAGGAAATCCTGGCCGACCTAACCCGGACGACGCTGGGCCAATTGTGCTCCGCCTCATGGGTCCCCGGTCACGGCCGGCTGTGACACAGCCTGGGATCGAACCCGGGGATGCAGTGCCTTAGACCTCTGCACCACTCGGGAGGCCTCCTTGCCTCTTTTGACCTCACCCTTTCCCAATCCCCTCCAACTCACAAGGGAGGCAATACGTTTGACCTTTCTCCCGGGGAAGGCCTGCCCACTTAAAGACCTCTCCATCATGGTTGACAGCTCCACAGTGTCGCCCTCCCAGAGTGCAAAGACCCTGGCTGGAAAGGATTAAATGGAACAGTATCAAACATATGGAAACCACATGTTTGACTCCGTTCCATTTATACCATTCCAGCCATTATAATGTGCCCATCCTCCTATAGCTCCTCCACTGACACATGTATTTTCTCTCATTATATTATGGCTGCCACGAATGTGGTTCATCCTTATGTAATTTAGCTTGAGTCAGTGTGTAATAATTCCTTGCTGTGTATGTCACCATAGCGTGTATTTCAAGGATGCAGATTCAAAGAATGCGCCTGCTAGATTGCACTCTTCAAAACAATTTCAAATTCACCAAAGTCTTAGCTAGTTTTTAATTCATCAAGATGTCCTGATTACCAAGAATAGACCTGCCTCCGCAATACGTTTCTCTCTCGCTGTGTAGGCTGGCTATCGCAATTTCGCCATATGAGGCTAATGGGGAAGAGTGGGTGAGAGGCTGGCTATCTCGTCTAAGGGTAGATAAAAAAATATATAAACCTTGTCTCTATCTCTGTGTCCAGGATCGAGATGGCTCAAGTGTGCACTGCACCCACTACAACTCTGGCGTCTGGCGAGACCTCCCAGTCACATCTCTCCTCTGTGGCTGCTCTTTGACAGGACTAATCCCAATTGACACGCCTTTCGGCTCTGGTCAAAAGTAGTCCAGTCTCGTGCACAGCCACAGCACTATATGGGGAATGTGGTGGCTCTGGTCAAAAGTAGTAGCCTTGCAAGCCACCTGATCTCTCGAGTTTACATGAATGTTCGCTACATGTATATCTGCAGTGTTTCCCCTAGGCAGAGATATGAGGAGGAGGGAACGGTGTGATAGTGGGCGTTGCCAATGGTGCGGTTTCAGAGGTCCTCCTCTTGGCAGCAGAAACAAAATGTAGCAGTTTCTAAACTAATTTCCTACAATTCTACACATTTTGCCATGGGGCTGAGAGAACATTTTCAGTTTTAAAGCTAATGTCCTTCAATTATACACATTTTGCCATGGCTTATGCCTTGTTGTTATGCTATCTGAGTGACTCAAACATTATAACAAAATTAATGGGGCCCCATGACATGACATGGTAGTGGGTGTGGCCAATGGCACGGTTTTAGATGCCCTCTTGGCCGCAAAGACAAAATGTTGCTGTTTTAAAGCAAATTTCCTGCCATTCTACACATTTTGGCATGGGGCTGAGAGAAAAATTGCTGTTTCAAAGCTAATTAACTATACAGATTTTGCGACGTCTTATACCTTGTTTTTATGCTATCTGAGTGACTCAAACGTTATAACAAAATCAATTGGGGCAACATGCCATGACATTTTTGGAATTTTAGATTCTCCCTGACTGGCTAGATTTTATTTAGGTGATTGTTAGTTCTCAAAGATGATCTTACTTAAACATATATTGCTCCATTGTGTTTTCTTCATACTGGTTTTAGTCGTTTAAGTTTACCATCCCAATTTTATAAAACATTTGGCGGCTACAATTTAGCAGCGGCGGTGCACCGCTTCTAAGTGCATATAGGGGAAATACTGAACATTCATGTAAGCTCACGAGATCAGTTGGCTTGTGAGGCTGCAAAAGTAGGGCACGTTATGGAGAATAGGGTGGCTTTGTTCAAAAGTAGTGCATTATGGAATAAGGTGGCTCTGGTTGAAAGTAGTGCACTAAATGGGCAATGGGGTGTCATATCATATGAGACAGAAGTCATCTCTGGCTGGGACAGCCAGGCTGTTACGGTTAAGGTCCAGCCTCCAGCTGGTTCCACTAAGCTCTGGGTAATGGTTGTTTCCTGCTAGGAAGTTTTCCTCTCATTGTTGTATGCTTTGCATGCTGTGTGTGGTTGTTTGCTTTAGTGATTTCTAGATTGTGTAATCTCATGTATACATGAGGCGATTTACAGTCTTGCAAAGAAGAAAAGCATGGAGCTTTACCCCCCAACAAATGGGTGATATTTGGTATTTGGGACATATGTACTGTGCATTTGGAAAGTATTCAGACCCTTTGACTTTTTCCACATTTTGTTATGTTACAGCCTTATTCTAAAATTGATTAAATAAAAAAATGTCCTCATCAATCTACACTCAATACCCCATAATGATAAAGCGAAAACAAAGACTCTTCCTGGAGCTGGCTGCCCGGCCAATCTGAGCAATCAGGGGAGAAGGGCCTTCGTCTGGGAGGTGACCAAGAACCTGATGGTCACTCTGACAGAGCTCCAGACTTCCTCTGTGGAGATGGCAGAACCTTCCAGATGGACAACCATCTCTGCAGCACTCCACCAATCAGGCCTTTATGGTAGAGTGGCCAGATGGAAGCCACTCCTCTGTAAAAGGCACATGACAGCCCGCTTGGAGTTTGCCAAAAGGCACCTAAAGACTCTCAGACCATGAGAAACAAGATCCTCTGGTCTCATGAAACCAAGATTGAACTCTTTGGCCTGAATGCCAAGCGTCACATCTGGAGGAAACCTTGCACCATCCCTACAGTGAAGCATGGCGTAGCAGTGTGGTTGTGTACTCTGTTGTGTGTCCGTGTAAATAGCCAGTTTTTTTCCTTTTTTGTCTTTTGTTGTATATATTTCCCCTATCACACTTTTCATCCTTCTACTAAATATACTTTCCTGCAACCCGCATCACTCAATGTGGAATGGATTCTATTATTTACTTACCTTTTATCTAGAATCTCCAGTTGAAAAAATATATTTCTCTCAGAGTCTTTGCATAAATTCGTCCTCACCAGGGTCTTGACATGACTGCGGTTCGGCGTCGTTGGAAGCACAGAATCGTCTAGAATGTCATTGTATGCTGTAGCGTTAAGATTTCCCATAACTGGATCTAAGGGGCCTAGCCCGAACTATGAAAAACAGCCCCAGACCATTATTCCTCCTCCACCAAACTTTACAGTTGGCACTTTGCATTCGGGCTGGTAGCGTTCTCCTGGCATCCGCCAAACCCAGATTCGGCCGTCGGACTGCCAGCGTGATTCATCACTCCAGAGAGCGCACTTCTCCAGAGTCCAATGGCGGTGAGCGTTACACCACTCCAGCCGAAGCTTGGCATTGCACATGGTGATCTTAGGCTTGTGTGCGGCTGCTTGGCCATGGAAACCCATTTATTGAAGCTCCTGACGAACAGTTCTTGTGCTGAAATTGCTTCCAGAGGCAGTTTGGAACTTTACTACTATTGCCCATAGAAACACATTGAATAACACATTTATAGATGGCAAAAAAGACAGTCAAAAAATGTATCATAAAAATAAGGTTTTGAAGTGTATGTCCTATATCTAGGAGATATAAGAAATCATCTCAGGAAATATATATATATATTTTTTTGAACACATATTTAACCCCTTATTTGTTTTGGCACAAAACTACTTCCATACTTCCATTGTATGGGTTACCTTCAGACGAGACCCATGACACTTGTGGGGGTCGTAGAGCAAAATGGGGAACACCATCGTGTTTGTGAGAGTCTCCCCTTTCCATAGAGAGGTCATACTAGTTTGTAAGCCGTTGGGATGCTGCAGCCGTTTTCATGAGAAGACTGATTTTCCGGATGCCTCATGGTCTGACAAACATCGCTGTAGCTCGGCCACGGAAAGGCGACATAGGCTGATGCGGCAGATTGAGACGCAGCCCATGCAAAAAGCTTAAACTGGCTTAAACTGACAGATTTTGATGGGGATTTTATTATTTTGTTACTTAGATTGACATGTGCGTCAATAGACTCTTAACGACATTGCAATGTATGTGATTTTACTGCAAATGTAGAAATACCAACACTGTAATATCACATCACATGAAACTTACTTGGTGGGAAAAGTATTTGATTTTATTATCCTGAGCAATGTGGTGGTGTGCCGTGCAGTCCTTTTTTTTGTTTCTCTGTACAGCCCGTTGGCATGTACCCATGGTTCTCTGTGTCATCTCTGCTCCTGCAGGTGAGAAGTGGTACAAGCGTCACCTGACCTACAGGATAGTGAACTGGCCTCGTCACCTTGCGCCGGGCCCTGTGCGGCTGGCGGTGCGTGCCGCCTTTCAGCTGTGGAGCAACGTGTCAGGCCTGGCCTTCCAGGAGGTCCCAGAGGGCCCCACGGACATCCGCCTGGCCTTCTACGAGGGCGAGCACAACGACGGGGCCAGCAACGCCTTTGATGGCCCAGGTCAGGACCCAGCACCTCATTTTCACCCTACTGGATCTTACTATGGGGCCTGGAGTTTTTTTCCTGACCATGTAACCTGACCTTGGGCCGTAATTGGTATTCATAGCTAGTTTCCAGGTCACATGGTCCATAACTCCTGGCCCTACTATTCTTTTAAAGTAAAGAAAGAGCTTAATCACCCAAATCTGGGCACCAGAGAGGGGCCATTGGAGTTCCTGTCCTGTCCAAACCTCTCACACTCCCTCTCCTCTCCTGTCCTATAGGGGGAGCTCTAGCACATGCCTTCTTCCCTTGCCGGGGGGAGGCCCACTTCGACATGGCAGAGAGGTGGACGCTGTACGGACACAAGGGCCACAACCTGTTCATGGTGACAGCCCACGAGATAGGCCACACGCTGGGGCTGGAGCACTCACCGGTGCGCCACGCCCTCATGTCCCCCTACTACAGGAAGCTAGGCCGCGCCCTGGTCCTCAGCTGGGATGACATCGCTGCAGTGCAGCAGCTCTATGGTAAATGATTTACGATGTCTTCCATTCAGGTTAAAACCAATGATGTCATATACTGTATACACTACAAGGCATGTCTGTGAATGAAACCATCTGTCTGTATGTAAGGTTAAATGGGGCATCGACAATGAATCAAGATACAGCCATCTCAGTCAGATTTATAAGAAAAAGTGATTTAATAGAAAGTAAAATCCCTTTTTGTTGAAAGGAATTGCATCGTTAAATGAGCGGAACTGTCCAAATGCCTCCACTGGTGAGTAGAGGAGAGCCTTGAGGCCCACAGCTGCTGCTGCTGTTGCTGCTGGGGACAGTTGAACTAAAGAGCAGCAGAGGTAGTGTGACTGAACTCAAACATAACATACTTCCCCTGCCCCCCCCCCCCCCCCCCCACACACACACACACACACACAAACACCACTTGCAGACCTCTGTGATTTAGTGAGTTAGCCTTCATAACGAGAGAGAGGGAGACAGACAGACTGACATCACTCATTTACTGAACAAGAATATAAACGCAACATGTAAAGTGTTGGTCTCATGTTTCATTCGCAGAAATAAAAGATTACAGAAATGTTTCATATGCACAAAAATAGCATTTCTCCTTTGCCAAGATAATCCATCCACCTGACAGGTGTGGCATGATCATTACACAGGTGCACCTTGTGCTGGGGACAATAAAAGGCCACTCTAAAATGTGCAGTTTTGTCACATAACACAATGCCACAGACTTCTCAAGTTTTGAGGGAGCGTGCACTTGGCATGCTGACTGCAGGAATGTCCACCAGAGCTGTTGCCAAAGAATTTAATGGTCATTTATCTAGCATCCTTTTAGAGAATTTGGCAGTACATCCAACCGGCCTCACAACTGCAGACCAGAATGTCAACATTGTGTACAGAGTGCCCCATGGTGGCAGTGGGGTTATGGTATGGGCAGGCATAAGCTACAGACAACAAACACAATTGCATTTTATCGATGGCAATTTGATTGCACAAAAATACCGTGACTAGATCCTGAGGCCTATTTTTTAAAAAGGTATCTGTGACCAACAGATGCATATCTGTATTCCCAGTCATGTGAAATCCATAGAATTTATTTCAACTGACTGATTTCCTTATATGAACTGCACTCAGTAAAATCAAATTGAAATTGTTGCATGTTGCGTCTATATTTTTGTTCATTATACAGTATATCTCTGGCTTCTCTATGGCCTCTGCATGATGAATCGTCAACGCTCCGGGTGGGGACAGACCACCCATCTCAGTATGGAGCGCAGTTCACAATGCATGTAGACCTAACATCTCATCATGGTAAATTTTTTTATTGTGACAGGTGGGCCTACATTTTCTGCAGAATAGTCTAAGCTACAGTAATATAAAGACCGAATGCGCGTCTAATTTACCCATCTCCATCTGGCTTTCGGGGGTCACCTTGTTTTTTAATTGTAAAGATGTATTTATTTATTTATTGCAGCCGCATAGTTTTAAAACAGCCTATCACTCGAATGTCGTTGCTTTAAATCGGAGCACACGCGAGCACTCTCGCAGTCTTTTCTCTCCTCCATGAACTCCATTCAAATTGCATCCAAAATACTGTAGATAATCCTGTTCTAGATTGATATATAGCCCTATATACAGTGCCTTCGGAAAGTATTCAGACCCCTTCCCTTTTTCCACATTTTGTTACGTTACAGTCTTATTCTAAAATTGATTAAATTGTTTTTTCCCCTCATCAGTCTACACACAATACCCTGTACTGACCAAGCAAAAACAGCAGTTATGTATTCACACCCACAACCATTCAATCCTCATGAAGAGAAATGAAAGCCTTCTGCATCTAATTCTTGTCCTATATTATTCAAGGATGTCATTCGAATGATGAAGATAAGGACAACAAAACGTATTTCATTTAACTGTTGAAAGCGAGAAAGGGATGAAGCGACAATGGAGAGAGAAAGAGGAGGTAGGCTAATAACATTAGGGGAAATATTATGAAAGGTATGCCTATATATGCGTCAGCTTACTAATTATACAAAAAGGCCCTATTATATTTCAACATTAAAATCGAATTCGCTAGCCTATAATTGTACATTTGTAGGCCGCATGTGCTGCACCAGTATCGCGTGTTTTCTCCCTGCTTTATCATGGTTTGAACGATGTGCTTAATTCCAGTCGATATAATACAGTATAATACAATACAGTACAGTAATACAGTTCACACTCAAAAAGATTAGCCTACTGGAGCTTGTTTCATTTATTTACCCAAGAGAGCATATAACTAGCTACATCTATGGGCTTTTATGTTGTGCATAATGTGCAGTAGCCTATATCATATATATATATTGTATAACAATCATTTGGGCTTGGGCTCATTAAATGTCTTTAATGTAGGACTCATAAAATGTATTTAATATATGGCTCATCAGGCTCAGGTAGCATCAGGCTTGAATTTCCGATCAAAGCTCTAATCAAATCCAGACATACTGTAGGCCTATTTATATGCTTTATAATGCTTTTGAATGACACTTCTGGTTTTAGCCGGGAAATACCGGGTTACCCAGGAGAAAAGTGATTTATTCTCGGGATGGAACATTTGTAAAATACCGGGAAAATATTCAACCCTAGTCTGCATGCATAGCCTACATGCTTTTATGTAGAACAAATGGAGTAGCTGTTTGCAGTGGAGGTTTTTGCTCCCTCCTGGCATGTGTAAGACAGGTTTCCACAGGTTGCTGCTGCTGTTGTATGATGAGTCCCATCCATCCTCCTGCAGGCATTTATCCAGGAATGTCTCCGTGACTATGGAGCAGTCCTACCTGGATCCAACAAAAGGCATGCCAATTCTAGATGCCTTTCTCTGTTTGATTTCATTGAGATGAAAAGACATACAGTTTTGTACATTCTAGTCCTTTTTAGTTCAAAAACATTTGGCATATTTCATATATTGATACAGATCTGCTCCCCTTTATATCAAGTCTCTAAGCATTACCACTGCTGATTGTGGTATTGGGTTCCTCATACAGAACAATGGGATGAAAACATTAGACACTTTATCTTCTGAGATATTAAGGTATGCAGTGCCCTGCGGGCAGAATGTATGTGTGTTAGCACCATGTGATGATGGGAACCAGATGTCTGTCTGACCTGAATACCTTCACAGCACCACTGTACTGTATCTGACCTCCAACAACCTTCCGACATATTTCTAACCATTCTGGTCTGGGTGTACGGCCATGGCATCTGCTTTACATTTACATTTTAGTCATTTAGCAGACGCTCTTATCCAGAGCGACTTACAGTTAGTGAGTGCATACATTATATTTTATTTTTCATACTGGCCCCCCGTGGGAATCGAACCCACAACCCTGGCGTTACAAACGCCATGCTCTACCAACTGAGCTACATCCCTGCCAGCCATTCCCTCCCCTACCCTGGACGACGCTGGGCCAATTGTGCGCCGCCCCATGGGTCCCCATACACTGCAGATTTTGCAGGCCTTCCCACCCACAAAGCATGTAGAGGTCTGCAACCTTCACCATAGGTACACTTCAACTGCGAGAGACGGAATCCAAAACAAAAATCCAGTTTTAGAAACCTTATTTTTTCGTAGGAACATCACAAATGGCACCCTATTCCCTATGTAGTGTATTACTTTTGCCCAGGGCCTATAGGGACTTGCATAGGGCTCTGGTCAAAAGTAGTGCACTATATAGGGAATAGGGTGCCATTTGGGACGGAACCTTCGTTTTAGTGATAATGTCATGTCACAGTGTATGAGATTTTGCAGTAGACTTGGCCACACGAGTCTGTAATCTAGTAATTGTTATATATTTTAAATAGTCTGTGTAGAGACTTACCCAAGTATACAGTATGTTTAGATTACACACAGTAGCACCGTTCTCAGCAAAGCATCTCTGTTTTATTCTTCCTGCCAGATTTTCCTCTTCTCCTTGGGGATGCTGATATCATCACTGCGAAGACAAATGTTTGCTCAGCCTGTTGCAAACAAAATGGGGGTGTGACGTCCAGAGCCTTATCATAGGACGCTGCTTTGGGTTTCGTTTTACATCCTTTTGCAGTAGTGTCTTTCTTCATTCTTTTCAATGAGAATGACATTCTCTACGTTTACCAGTAAACGACCAGAATTTTGGTATCTTTCAAAGATTTAATGTAATCTATCACAATACATCTAGTGGCCCTTTTGGGTACTTCAGATTATCACAGGTGTCTGTAATTATCTCTGGCCCACTCTGGTCTTATCACATTTAAAATATACTAAATAATTACAATTTTAGAATGCAAAGCTGTAAAACATTATCCTAAATATAAACCATCAACTTAGTGAATACCATTGGTGTTTATGAGGGTTTCAGCATGAAATATCCTTAGAAAAATGTTTTTACACTTTTATTTATTTTACTATGTTAATATGTATTTGTTGTCAATGTGTTGGTGTCAAACTGGTGTCAGTTGTGAAAAAAGTCAATAGTTGGAAGAGTTGCAGAGGTAATTTAAAATAATACCATTGTTGATTAGAGGCTATTTTCTCTCGAACCATATGGTCTATCTACTAGAAACTCATGGACAATATGGACACAGATATAACAAATGAAGACTATATTTGAATACATGTTTTTTTTTGTTATTCAAGTATACATTACTAAAGTTATGATAGATTTCCATAGATTTTCTGTTCATGACCAAAATGACTGAAGATTCCAGTAACTTTGCAACCGTTTGTCCAGTACACAGCAACTCAACAGATTACCGAGAAGGCCAGATTGACTGTTTATATCATTGACTATTTGAGAACATTGTTCTCTGTTTGTTTCCACTTGAGAGGGTTGTTTGTTCCCATGATGTCCAATTTGAGGAAATATTGTCATTGTTTTTGGTTTGGATATCTCATGTTTTTTTAAGGGAAAAAATTACCTTGCCATGCAGACTTCCTCTATCAAGTATCAACCAACATTTGTCCCATTGGAGCAGTAAATTAATCTGTAAGCCAATATTTGTCCTAACATCAGCTTTTATTCACATGGTAGTTCATCATAATCAGTGGCCATTCACCTGATATATAGATTGTGGAAGTAACACTTGTAAGAGTTTAGTTAAGATGGCTGACAAAACATTATCTTGGAGGACGCAATGGAATGCTTATCACTTATCACCCCATCACTTAAAACACTCTAACTTGTGTCTGTATCCGATCTACTCTCCCATTCCATATGTTCTCATTTTCTTATCCTGACTGATCCCGGATCTGTATGCGCTTCAGCAAACCCAATTTTTTGTTGTTATGGGATAACGGTTACAATATTTAAATTAAAATACTTTCATATTCCGTTCATATCACATGTTCCATTCATTATGTCACACATATATTTAATTTTTGTACCTGTGGGCTGCCACTCTGAAGAAGAAAATAAAACATTAAAAAAAGGTACATAACTACAAAGTATTGATCATATTACAGAGTTTAAGTAATAATACATTCAGTATGTACAGGAAAATAAAATAAAAAATAAGTGGGCCTCCACCCCCAACCTCCCATTCCCCCAACCAGCCAACATATCCCCACCCAGCCCCCCCTTCTGACTACTGTTGTCATTCCAACCCCTCCGTTGGTCAGATGACCAGGCTACTGATGGTCTCCCTCTCTCTGTCCTCCCCAGGAAAGCCTCTGGGAGGTCGGCCTATGAGGTTAACAGGCCAGGCATTCAGCTCAGCCCTGCAGGAGTGGGAGGAGGCTGAGGTGCCCGAGGGACATCCTGAAATGGCCCAGCCCCTCTACTGCCAGGGGGTCTTTGATGCCATCACTATGGGTAGGGCACGACTGTACTCACAATCATTTGAAATCCCCCTAAACACAAATAAGTTATTCATTGGGATATTATTAACTGGGTGGTTCGAGCCCTGAATGCTGATTGGCTGACAACATTTATTTGTACTGCTCTAATTACGTTGGTAACTAGTTTATAATAGCAATAAGGCCTGAGGGGGTGTGGTATATGGCCAATATACCACGGCTAAGGGCTGTATCCAGGCACTCTGTGTTGCGTCATGCATAAGAACAGCCCTTAGCCGTGGTATGTTGGCCATATACCACACCCCCTCAGGCCTTATGTCTGTCTTTGTGTGTTCAGACCAGAACCACACAGTCCTGGTGTTCCGGGGCAGTGTGTACTGGATGGTGTCAGCTCAGGGGAACGTGAGCGCGCCTCTCTCTCTCCAGCAGCGCTGGCGCCACCTCCCACTGGCCATCGAGGCAGCGGCCTTCTCCCCACTGGACAGCAAGTGGTACTTCTTCAAAGGTCAAGTAAAGTCATCTCCTTAAATTCACTTTAGTCAGTGAATGATCGTGTGAAGTGGCCTGGTCCCAGATTGATGTGCTTTAGCAAACGCCCCTGACTATGGTTGCATGACAATAACAAATAACACGGCAGAGGACTTGGCTAAAGCATAAACAGGCTAAAGTGCCTCAGTGAGTAAGTAGTGTTGTTGATTGCGCTGAATTCTCTCTCGCTACCCCTCCCTCTGCAGGTAAGCGTATATGGCGTTACTCGGACAGTGCCCTGGACCCTGGCTTCCCCAGGAGGAGCAGCCAAGCCGGCCTCCCCTGCCACCCAGACTGTGCCTTCTACTACGCCCCCCTGGGACACATGGTCCTCTTTAAGGGCTCCCGCTACTACGTGCTCAACCTGCACACGCTGAGGTCCGAGCCCTATTACCCCCGCCGGCTGGCCGACTGGACCGGGGTGCCCCAGGGAACCAACGGTGCACTGACCCGTCCCGACGGGCGCCTCTATCTCTTCAGGGAGCAGCAGTACTGGAGGTTTGACCCGGTGAAGGTGCACATGACCAGAAAGGGCCAGTGGGCTCAGGACCTGGAATGGATAGGCTGCAGGAGCAGGACTCACCAGGGCAATGACATCCTGTGACAAACAGGGGGAGCTACAGGTCTCATATCAAAGTTGATGAGCCAAAAGCCTGAAACGTTAGCCTGGGTACAAGTCTGTTTCTGCTAATATTCCAGTTCTTGTACTCTGTATCATATGCCAAACAGTTTAGCATGACAAGGAGTGGAAACAGACTGGCACCCAGTCTACCAAAACATATAAAAGGCCATTATGTCTGTGCAATCTAAATATGGAAGACTTTGTTGTAGCCAGCCGCGGTCGTTGGCCTGAGACTCACTGTCATCAGTGCCATTGAACTGGACTTTCTTTAGTAAGACTCATGACACAATAAAACGGACACTAGTCATGAACATTGTTGAGCTCATTAAGCCTGGGCCGGGCCAGGCACGTTGTAGAGCACTGTCGACAATTCACCTTTTAAAGACAATGTTTCCGACATTCGTGAAGATCGCATTCACGGTAAACGCTGCAGATATCGTCTCTATAAGAAATTACCTTTAAAGTCAAGCGCTCTACGATGTGCCTTGGATTGAATCCCTGCCCTGGTGACAAATACAGTGCATTCGGAAAGTATTCAGACACTGACTTTTTCCACATTTTGTTACGTTACAGCCTTATTCTAAAATCGATTAAATTGTTTTTTCCCCTCATCAATCTACACACAATACCCCATAATGACAAAGAAAAAACAGGTTTAAAAAAAACAGAAATATGACATTTTCATAAGTATTCAGACCCTTTACTCAGTACTTTGTTGAAGCACCTTTGGCAGCGATTACAGCATTGAGTCTTCTTGGGTATGACACTACAAGCTTGGCACACCTGTATTTATGGAGTTTCTCCCATTCTTCTCTGCAGATCCTCTCAAGCTCTGTCAGGTTGGATGGGGAGCGTCGCTGCACAGCTATTTTCAGGTCTCTCCAGAGATGTTTGTCCGGGCTCTGGCTGGGCCACTCAAGGACATTCAGAGACTTGTCCCGAAGCCACTCCTGCGTTGTCTTGGCTGTGTGCTTAGGGTCGTTATCCTGTTGGAAGGTGAAACGTCACTCTGGAGCAGGTGTTCATCAAGGATCTCTCTGTACATTGCTCCGTTCTGCTTACCCTTGATCTTGACTAGTCTCCCAGTCCCTGCCGCTGAAAAACATCCCCACAGCATGATGGTGCCACCACCATGCTTCACCGTAGGGATAGTGCCAGGATTCCTCCAGACGTGACACTTGGCATTCAGGCCAAAGAGTTCAATCTTGGTTTCATCAGACCAGAGTATCTTGTTTCTCATGGTCTGAGAGTCCTTTAGGTGCCTTTTGGCAAACTCCAAGCGGGCTGTCATGTGCCTTTTTACTGAGGAGTGGCTTCCGTCTGGCCACTCTACCATAAAGGCCTGATTGGTGGAGCGCTGCAGAGATGGCTGTCCTTCTGGAAGGTTCTGCCATCTCCACAGAGGAGCTCTGTCAGAGTGACCATCAGGTTCTTGGTCACCTCCCTGACCAAGGCCCTTCTCCCCGATTTTTCTGTTTTGGCCGGGGGGCCAGCTCTAGGAAGAGTCTTGGTGGTTCCAAACTTCTTCATTTAAGAATGATGGAGGCCACTGTGTTCTTGGGGACCTTCAATGCTGAAGACAATTTTTGGTACCCTTCCCCAGATCTGTGCCTCGACACAATCCTGTCTCTGAGCTCTATGGACAATTCCTTCGATCTCCTGGCTTGGTTTTTGCTCTGACATGCACTGTCAACTGTGGGACCTTATATAGACAGGTGTGTGACTTTCCAAATCATGTCCAATCAATTGAATTTACCACAGGTGGACTCCAATGAAGTTTTAGAAACATCTCAAGGATGATCAATCGAAACAGGATGCACCTGAGCTCAATTTCGAGTCTCATAGCAAAGGGTCTGAATACTTATGTAAATAAGGTATTTCTGTTTTTATTCCTAACAAATTTGCTAACATTTCTAAAAACCTGTTTTCGCTTTGTCATTATGGGGTATTGTGTGTAGATTGATAAGGATTTCTATTTATTTAATCAATTTTAGAATAAGGCTGTAACGTAACAAAATGTGGAAAAAGTCAAGGGGTCTGAATACTTTCCGAATGCACTGTACGTAGTGGTAAATCAAAAACTCCATGGAAAATGCTTTTGAATATTATACACGCTTAAGCTTTGTCTTCTTAAAGATTTCTTAAGAATGTTTATGCTTTGGTATTACACTTGTACATGTCAGATATTCAACTAAAACAACAATGTGTAATTCACTTTTTTGAGATAGTAAAAATGATTTATTTGTATAGAATCGTGTGTGAGATACAGATATAACTTCTATGGGACACTGCCCCCTTCCAGTGGTTAAATTATTGATCATCCTTGAGATGTTTCTTCAACTTCATTGGAGTCCACCTGTGGTAAAATCAATTGATTGGACATGATTTGGAAAGTCACACACCTGTCTATATAAGGTCCCACAGTTGACAGTGCATGTAGAGTAATGTATAAGACTACTGAAACTGACCTAATCTAAATGTATCGTTAGCCGTCAGGGTTGCTGATACTAAACCAAGAATACTCCTAGTTTAGTTCTCCAATAAATATACACTACTGTTCAAAAGTTTGGGGTCACTTAGACATTTCCTTGTTTTCCATGAAAACATACATGAAATGAGTTTGAATAGGAAATATAGCAAAATGAATAGGAAATGTAGTCATTGACAAGGTTAGAAATAATGATTTTTTATTGAAATAATAATTGTGTCCTTCAAACTTTGCTTTCGTCAAATAATCCTCCATTTGCAGCAATTACAGCCTTGCAGACCTTTGGCATTCTAGTTGTCAATTTGTTGAGGTAATCTGAAGAGATTTTACCCCATGCTTCCTGAAGCACCTCCCACAAGTTGTATTGGCTTGATGGACACTTCTTACGTACCATACGGTCAAGCTGCTCCCACAACAGCTCAATAGGGTTGAGATCCGGTGACTATACTGGCCACTCCACTATAGACAGAATACCAGCTGACTGCTTCTTCCCTAAATATTTATTGCATAGTTTGGAGCTGTGCTTTGGGTCATTGTCCTGTTGTAGGAGGAAATTGGCTCCAATCAAGCGCCATCCACAGGGTATGGCATGGCGTTGCAAAATGGAGTGATAGCCTTCCTGCTTAAAGATCCCTTTTACCCTGTACAAATCTCCCATTTTACCACCACCAAAGCACCCCCAGACCATCACATTGCCTCCACCATGCTTGACAGATGGCATCAAGCACTCCTCCAGCATCTTTTCATTTGGTCTGCGTCTCACAAATATTCTTAATTGTGATCCGAACACCTCAAACTTTGATTCGTCTGTCCATAACACTTTTTTCCAATCTTCCTCTGTCCAGTGTCTGTGTTCTTTTGCCCATCTTTTCTTTTTATTCGTCTGAGATATGGCTTTTTCTTTGCAACTCTGCCTAGAAGGTCAGCATCCCGGAGTCGCCTCTTCACTGTTGACGTTGAGACTGGTGTTTTGTGGGTACAATTTAATGAAGCTGCCAGTTGAGGACCTGTGAGGCATCTGTTTCTCAAACTAGACACTAATGTATTTGTCCTCTTGCTCAGTTGTGCACCAGGGCCTCCCACTCCTCTTTCTATTCTGGTTAGATCTAGAGCTGTTCTGTGAAGGGAGTAGTACACAGCATTGTACGAGATCTTCAGTTTCTTGGCAATTTCTCAAATGGAATAGCCTTCATTTCTCAGAACAAGAATAGACTGACGAGTTTCAGAAGAAAGTTATTTGTTTCTGACCATTTTGAGCCTGCAATCGAATCCACAATTGCTGATATAATATTAATATAATATGCCATTTAGCAGACGCTTTTATCCAAAGCGACGTACAGTCATGCGTGCATGTGTATGGGTGGTCCCGGGGATCGAACCCACTACCTTGGCGTTACAAGCACCGTGCTCTACCAGCTGAGCTCCAGATACACAACTAGTCTCAAGAAGGCCAGTTTTATTGCTTCTTTAATCAGCACAACAGTTTTCAGCTGTGCTAACATAATTGCAAAAGGGTTTTCTAATGATCAATTAGCCTTTTAAAATGATACACTTGGATTAGCAAACAACGTGCCATTGGAACACAGGACTGATGGTTGCTGATAATGGGCCTCTATGCCCCTGTAGATATTCCATAAAAAATCTGCTGTTTATATACAATAGCCATTTACAACATTAATGTCTACACTGTATCTCTGATCAATTTGATGTTATTTTAAATGGACAAAAAAATTGCTTTTCTTTCGAAAACAAGGACATTTCTAAGTGACCCCAAACGTTTGAACGGTAGTGTATATTCACCAACATATTATCATAATGTCTTAAGAACAATCTGAAACAAAATGACAGTATATTCCCAAATTAGTCAGAATAGTAATAAAAATAATTTAATATACAAAATACAATGACTTTAGTGATGCATATTCCTGGTTCATAAAACGTTTCAGAAACATGATTAAACTGTCCTATTTCACAACTCACCTGTTTAAATTAATTACATGAAGGGACGGTTTCCCAGACATAGATTACAGTTAGTCCTGGACTAAAAGGCACTCTCAATGGAGATTCTCCACTGAAAGCGCTTTTTAGTCCAGGCTTATCTAAGAAACCGGCCTCTAGACGATCAGTTTGGTAAACATTGTCTCGCCCTAGGTTATAGACAGCATTGCAAGGCCCATGGTAATGTCAGCACACACTTTATACATTATTAATGGAGTATCTCTTCTCTCTCTAGTCCTTCGTTGTATTCTAATCTTCAATCCATCTTTGAACACACAGATTACCAAATATGTAGCCTAACCAGTCCTTGAAACAAACAGCTTCACAAAAAAGTTTCCAGAAAATAAATGAATTATCAGCTCCCATAGTATTTTTATTATCAAAATATGTAGTGTCCTATCAACACAGTGGTTTGCCAAAGTCTACTCAACACAACCTATGGTTTAGTATTGTATTAGAAGATACAACAGTCATTTTTGAAATAAAAAATGGTGTTAATCCTAGAAAAATAGGCTAATGACACTGTACAATACTAACTTCTGACCCAGGAGTCAGACCTGATAGACGGTGCTTTCTTGGGGTAAGGATTTATGTCACTCAGAGAGATACGCTTCCACTCCGATACTACACAGATCAGCTTTCACAGTGCACAGACAACCACATGAACTAACCAACCACACACATTTATCTACCCACTTGCGGCACATATTTGTATGCATTTCTACTTCCACTGGTAATAAAATGCATAGTAGCCTAGTTAGTTATACAATAATTGTGTATCTGAAATCCCTGGGCGTAACAGTTTCAGTATAGGCTTTAACCCTATCCTAGCCTAGCTAGTTTGCGTCCAAAACGGCACCCTATTCCCTATATTGTGCACTACTTTTGACTAGAGCCCACCAGCACTACATAGGGAATAGTGTGACATTTCGGACACAGACCCAGACTGGTCTGACCACCAGGAAGTTAGGTCCCTTGTGTCTCCGTGGTTTCAATGAGCTTCCCAATCTCTCTCTCTCTTTCTCTCTGGAGGGAACCTCAAGTTACAATATGTTAGATAGTGACAAAATGTCCTACAACTGCCCTGCCTACCACACTGCAGAAAGGAGTCAGATGGACTCATCTATTGGGTCTGTATTGTGTGTGGGTGACAACAGAGCCTTTGCTGCTGGCTTATCTGGAGTCCGTGGCCCCACAGGCCCTCTACAGTAGCTCTGACCCGGCGATGCCCAGCTGATAACACTGCTGTCCCAGGCTGGTGACCCTGCCTTGCACCCGGGGCTGGCAGCTTTGGTAGGGCTGCTCGCAACCCAAGCATCCGGTAGACAAGCACTCAGCTCCCTCGCCAGGGCAGAGGCCCCCACAGCGGATGGCCTCTCACAGCGCAGTGTCCCTCGAGCTGGTCGTCATGGTGAAGTCCATGTCCGAGCGCGGGGTCATCGTCACAGGGACGCCCGTGTCCACGTTGGTCTCCGGGTCTTCCTCCTCCTCCAGCAGCAGGTGGGAGGTTGACAGGGAGGGCCGCGCCGGGGAGGCGGCGCATGAGAGAGGGGAGGAGTCGTGGGGGTGGTTGATGGATAGCGTGGCGGGGCTGCTGCACTGGGACGAGTAGCAGCAGCTGCCTGGAGGGGTGCTGCAGCAGCTGTCTGAGCCCATGCTCTCCCCCCTCCCCCTCCCCCACACCGCAGACCCCCGGGTAAGGCAGGCCTATCCAGGCCTGGGTCGGTGCGCGGCCTGTTCCCCGGCTGGGTCACTGGGCTCATCTGGCTGCAGGGCTGCAGGGCATGGGCTGCTGGGGGCGGTGTGGACACGACACTCGTCAGTAGCCCTCTGGGCGAGACACTGGGACAGGTCAGAGGGAAGGCACCAGTCAGGGGTCGCTGAGGCTGCTCTGGGTCTTTCACCTGGGGGACAGAGACTGACAGTCTTAACTTTCTCTGGAAGACTTGAGGTAAAAAGAATGGACGGTTCAACAATCATGGAGCCCACAGAGACAGGAAAAACAATCAACCTAAGTTATAATTAAAGTTGCACTATGCAGAAATTGCTCCGCCATTTCCTGGTTGCTAAAATTGTAATAGTTCGCCTAACTTCAGTTTCTGTGACAAAACAAGCAAGTATAGTGTAGAGAATCATTGTACCATCTATACCGCTGTGAAAAATAATGTATTTTCAGCTGGTGTACAAAACCGAAAGTAAAAGACGCAAAAACTAAACTTAAGCACGGGAAGCATAGAAATAGCGCACATATAACAGATCTACCGCTTCTTAGACTTGCTTTCAATGAGAATGACAGATCTATAACTCATATGTCTATGTGAATTTGGTCAGGTCGCCCTGTACAATACCTATGAGGTTAAAGTGCAGACTGTCAGCTTTAATTTTAGGGTATTTTCATCCATATCAGGTGAACCGTTTAGAAATTATAGCACTTTTTGTACATCATCCCCCCATTTTAGAGAACCAAAAGTATTGGGACAAATTCACTTCTGCGTATTAAAGTAGTCAAAAGTTGAGTATTGTGTCCCATATTCCTAGTACGCAATTATTACATCAAGCTTGTGACTCTACAAACCTGTTGGATGCATTTGCTGTTTGTTTTGATTATTAATATCGATTATTGCCCGAATCAGTTTGTGATTTCATGCCTGTATTTGAATCTCCTAATTGATGATTGGTTAATAAATAGTATGGTCCATATTGAGGGTCCACTCATCATTTTACAATTCATTCAGCACTATCCGTAATCATAGAAGTATCTACATTAATGTAGAAGTGTTTATTTACCATTCATTTCTATTGGGCACAAAATAATCTGTAACACAACCAAAACCAAGAGCAAATGCATCCAACAAGTTTGTAGAGTCACAAGCTTGATGTTATCATTGCGTACTAGGAATATGGGACACAATACTCAACTTTTGACTACTTTACACAAGTGAATTTGTCCCAATACTTTTGGTCTCCTAAAATGGGGAGACTATGTACAAAAAGTGCTGTAATTTCTAAACGGTTCACCTAATACTCTCAAACAAAAGCTGACAGTTTGCAGTTTAACCTCGTTGTCATTGTAACATTTCAAATCCAAAGTGCTGGAGTACAGAGCCAAATCAACTAAAAATGTGTCACTGTCCCAATACTTTTGGAGCTCACTGTCTCTCTGTGCTGGACACGGAAACTGCATTTATATTTTCCTGCTACTGGTCCCACTCTTAATCCCGATGGTTTTACAAGACAATCATCTTGAATGCAGAACAGTAGTCTCACTGTAGCTAAAAGATAATCATAGAGTAACTTCATCCAGTGCTACGTGTTTTCCAGAGGAGGCTGGTGGGAGGAGCTATAGGAGGACGGGCTCATTGTTATGGCTGGAATGGAATCAATGGAACGGAGTCAAACACATTGTTTCCATTTGTTTGATGTGTTTGGTACCATTCCATTGATACCATTCCAGCCATTTCAATGAGCCCGTCCTCATAGCTCCTCCCACCAGCCTCCTCTGGTGTTTTCACAGCCATAGAGGATGGCTTCCAATAGCTCCTCAGGGGGCAGAATCCACAGAGGTTTCACATAGCAGCTAAACATTTACCACAACTCTAAACCCAAACATATTTCCATCTCAAGAAGCAACTGGGCTTGACTTTGCACGTCTCAGCGTTTAAATGTAGAGACAGAAATGCAGTGAGAAGACGCAGTGTGACAAAGGTAAGACAAAAGGCAAATTATAAAATACACAGTAGCTTATTTCATCTATATATTACTTACACTATCTCTGACCACAGAGCCACATAGGAGTCTGAATAAAAGTACTGTAGTGCAATATAGCAGTGTCATGTCAATTAAAATACCTGGAAGAGTATCTTGTTGCCGTCCAGGTCTTCGGTCTGCCACCGCGTGGCGCTGATGGGCATGCACGGATTGGGCAGCAGGGGCACGAGCTGACCCATCTCCTCCAACCTGAACTGCAGCACGGCTGAGTTGCAGGCCTCCACCCTGACCCCTGGGGAGAGCTGTTTGAGAGCCAGCTGTAGACACAGCCCCGGCTCCGTGTAGAGCGTGAACCAACAGAACCCCGGCTTCTGCTCCTCCGCCGACCTCTGCAGCACCGTCTTGTAGAGCTGCACTGCGTCGTCAAAGATATTGTAGCCGCTGTAGAGCGTCACCCGCAGCATCTCCCCGCCGCAGTGCACTGGGCGCACCCCCCACACGGGCATCCCCGTGCCCAGGCTGTATAAGTCTCGGCTGGGCAGGAGGTAGGGCCGGAGCAGGGCGTTGGCCGGGGAGGTGATGTGGATGCCCCCGGTCCTCCCGCTGCAGCTCTCTGTGTGGTGGTACTGCCAGGGGGGGCGCTGCAGGAAGTCCAGCACCCGGAGGATGCGCTCCTCGCCGTAGGCCTCATGAAGGAAGACGGTCACAGCCAGGGAGGGGTACCCGGCCACGAGGTACAGGCGGGAGCGGGCGTAGTCGAGGAGGGGGCAGGCCCGCTCGGAGACGTGGAAGAGGCGCAGGCTGGGGCACACCCAGCGGAGGAGGCGGTCCAGGGTGTGCTGCAGCAGGAGTGAGTCCCCAGGGTTGGCCAGCAGGTGCATGCTCATCATCAGGGGCTCCCGGGCCCGACTGGCCAGTAGCTCACCTGACAACACAGACCACAGAGCAAGAGGGTTAGGGAGGTATGAACCAAGAAGACATAAGGATCACAATGAAACGGAAGAAAAACCCTTCCACTGACATTACAGAATAAGACAGTCAGTTTGAACAGAATATTGTCTGTATCAGAAGACACCAACAACATGTGTAAAAGAAACCATCATCAGTGATATAAATGGTATAATACTTACTGCTTGTTGATGACATCTTACTGCAATCAGATCTAGAAAATAAGTGAGTGGCAGACAATTATAGTAAGGGAATTCCAAAAACACAATGGAAAAACAAGTCAATAAGCCATTATTGTTTTAGCACATAACTAAAATACCTCTGTACCATAATCTGTTCAGTAGTAAATGATCTAGCAGCCAGTTACCCCTTATGCTTGTAATCAAATGTAGGCACATAGCAGCTAGGAACATACAGAGAAGAAATTGACAGATGCGTCATAATAGGCCGGAAGTAAAGCTGCACTGGGAGCCAAATTTGAAATTAAATAAATCGAATACATGGAGGGTTGAAAAAAATGTATCGCATTAAAAGACGATTTAAATGTATTTTCGGAAGGGCTGTGGTCACCATTCAAATCTGCAGTTTTGCGAGCGATGTTAGGTTACAACACTGTATCGTTATTTCTTCTTCAGAGGGCACTGGTGAGCAACAACAATTTCACTTCACCGAGACATCCACGAGTTCTTGAAGTCAATGATCTGAATGATGATCCGTTTTTTTTTTTTGCAAACGTTAGTAAGCTAAGGTTAGTAAACCACAGTAAATTATGCTTGCTTACTTGTAAGCTGACCTAATAAGATTACTCATAAGTGTAAATGTAGCTACCTAACTAATTTAGACCAGAAAGAGGTTGACCATTTACCATTGTCTGTTTGGGCTGTTGACGTTGCATGCAAAAAAGTTTTATGAGACTCGTTTTAAATTAACGCTAGCTTGTCACAACTTCTGCAACGTTGATAGAAAACACTGAAGTGGATTTCGCTGGGGAACTTATACTGCACAAAGCGAAAATGGTCATGATTCACATTTTGCCAGTACTTGGATACCACAAACCAATACTAGCTAACTAACGTTAGCTACTGTAGCTTATTAAAAAACTTACTCGGCAGTCTCAGCTCCCGAATCCACGTTTTCATCAACCGTTCCGTTGAATCGATCTTCGTAACATTGTTCAAATTGGCACCGTTCAGTCAGCAAAGTCTGTTTTTTTCCAAGTGTTGGGTTCTATTTTTCTCATAATTGGATCTGTATGTGATGAATAACTTAGAAGGAATGCATTAATGATGACCATGGGTGTACTATACTGATATAAATTGTTTCACATAACAGGCTGTGATTCATGTGAGGAACGTTAGGGGCTAGGATGAGATAAAACTTGTATTTCTTATAGATAAGACTTGTATTTCTCACAGATACGAACACTGCTTCTTTGTGATCTGTGAACCTTCCAAGGACATGGGTACTGCAAAAAAAGTGCTAACTCCACAGGTTGTTATGATAAACTTATGCCTGGCAACAGAGTGCAACAAATGGAGCGCCGAGGGGTTGGGACCAACCCGTGCGCCAACGGATTGGCTGAGTAAAGTCTAAACCACACTCAGTCCTTTACTCTGATTGGCCAACAGAAGAGGTGGGAACTCTCTGTCAGAGTATTTGAGAAATAACCTGTAAACAATGGTTTAGTTCTCTGAGTGCCCTGCGTGGTATCTCAGCGGACCTGTATATACGAACCTTCATACTTATCATTCATACATTTTGCATATAATACATTTAGCTTGGATTGAAGATCTCTTGATTCTTATTCCAATACCAGATTTGAATTACGCAATTTCTAACACAAGGGATCCTTCTAGCTGGGACATTATACATATTTTACACAAGGGAGTAGAATGTCAGATTTAGGGAGGCTATATATATATATATAAATAAATAAGGATAAGTAGAAAAGAGTCGCGTCAACTCACCAACACATGAATAAAGACGTGGAGAGTTGACCAGGAGACATGAACATTTGGAGAAAAGGTTTAGTCTACTCGAACTAAATGAGGAATAGCCTATGCAGAATAACGCCAGATGGCAGTCGTCTCACCGTCACGTATGAGCAGATTTAGGATAGTCCAGACGGGTTAACTAGACTTTGTGGGGCAAAGGAGGTGGTAACACTTCGGTAATGTAAATGGTACCTGAATCTCTGAGAAAATGAGGCCATCATCTGTCACATTTCTGTTAAAGAGCATTAACAACCCTTGCACTGTGCCTCCTTTGAGTCCATCCCTTTAAGGATAAGTCCTTCTTACATTGTCACATTCATAGAACATTGAATGATTCTAGTTCTGTGGTAGACATTCTGGAACATTGGAGACTATAATTGACATCTTCCGTTGGCCACAAATGTCTGATTAATAAAGTACATGTTATTTTCTAATAATCGACATTAACTTGTCATAGCAGCTGTCTGATGTAGTATTAGTGATATGCATATTAATCCATTGAACCCATGTAAAATGGCCTGCTGTAGCCTTAACCAACTTCATTGCACACTGTGAGATATAAAATATACTTGAGAAAGTGATTCAGCAAGAAACATATTTATAAAGCAAATGCAGTGTCTCAAAGTTGGCTACCACTGTTTGAAAGCAATACAAATAGTTATTTTGAGTTCTTCTTCTTGGATGCTTAACAGTTTGACTGTGGTTCCCTCTATGCATTAGGCTTTAATTATGGTCAGAGGAGGAGATACTGTATTTCACCATACAATTTACAGTGGTTTTCTCTCTGCTCTCAGAGAGGGATACACAAGACACAGAGTTGTAAAACAGGGAGGAGGCGAAATTCCCTTCGATGTACATTTTCTTTTTCTACATTTAATATGATGAAAACTAGGCCCTGTACAGTCCACTTTAGTGAGTACAATAATTATTTTACAATTTATACACATTAAAACATGGTGCTAAATTGGTTCCAATTGAAATGCAGTGAAGAAAAAAATAAACTTCCCCTTTGTGATCTGCATTGGGAGAAACCTACAATTCCAAGGAGAAATATTTTCTGGGCTGACGATCCAATTTTACAATAGGCCCCATTGAAAAAGAAAAACACAAAAAAAAACTATAACATACACCTTGTATAGAGCGTATGTGACTTCTTCCACCACTCCATAAGACAAAGCATGCTATCAAAGCACCTGCTCCTGTTCCCTGCAAACCAGCAACAACATCCATGTCCTCCTCTTCTCTTTGATTACAACCCTAGAGGGAAAAAGGCCAATAGTATCTGACAACCTGTACAACCAGCATGGTGCCACGAAAAAACACAAACATAACTCATTTACATCAACATTTAAAATGGGAGAAATGTCAAACATTTTTTTGGTCTTCGTGTAGCCAACCCACATTTGCTTCGTATGTCTCCTATTCTTTTTTATGCTCATTTTCTTTTCCTTTGTTTAATGGGTTTGAATGCAGTACATTTGATGCATTCACACTCTTCCCCCAATTCTTCCCAAGGCCACATTAGGAACATGAAACTGTAACCAAGCTAGATCCAATCCCTCCATTTAGCTCTTCTCAGCAGAAGAAATCTAAAATATATATATTTTTAAAAAACGTCTCTTTTCAAAAGTAAGATTCCCAGTGTTTCCCAGTATCAGACAAACTTCCATGTCCCAGAAAAAAAAGTATTGTTTCTTTTTGTGTAAGGTTTCATTGAATTCACGCCTTTATGCTACATAAGTGTACACTTTGCGATCCTCCGGTGTCCGCGCCAAATATTCCCGCTCAATGAGTCCTTCAATGCGCTTCTTGATGACTACAGGACTGGGGAGGAATCGCGACCGCAGCTGCTGGGTGACCTGGAGAGACGGTACAAACACAGACACAATCAGAACCGGATCTCACATCGAATTACTGACATTAATTAAATACTGACAGGTACAACCAAGTGTACCCCGAAACACCTCAATGTTCATACACTGTATTCCACTGACCTCTGCTACTAGTACATTATGCTGCATCTTCTTTCTAGACTTCATGATGCGGACGATGGCCGCCTCAATCTCGTGCTTCCTGTCGTCGTCCACTTTCTGCCGCGTCTCCTTCCTCTCCGGGTCCGACTCTCCTTGCTTAGCGGCGACTAGCGGCCGACACAAGGAAAACCGGTTTCAGCCGGGAACCACATATGACGGCTACATGCACATGACTATATCATTCACGCTACACAGGTAAACCTGTGGCTGGGCTATTCAGATGAGTGGAGATCAGTGGGGTTTTTCACTAAAACGACACTATACAAAAGTATGTGGACACCCCTTCCAATTAGTGGATTCAGCTATTTCAGCCACACCCGTTGCTGACAGGTGTATAAAATCGAGCACACAGCCATGCAATCTTCATAGACAAACATTGGCAGTAGAATGGCCCGTACTGAAGAGCTCAGTGACTTTCAACTTGTCACCGTCATAGGATGCCACCTTTCCAACAAGTCAGTGAGTCAAATGTCTGCCCTGGTCCACTGTAAGTGCTGTTATTGTGAAGTGGAAACGTCTAGGAGCAACAACGGCTCAGCCGCGAAGTGGTAGGCCACACAAGCTCACAGAACGGGACCGCCGAGTGCTGAAGCGCGTAAAAATAATCTGTCCTCGGATGCAACACTCACTACTGAGTTCCAAACTGCCTCTGGAAGCAACGTCAGCACAAGAACTGTTCGTCGGGAGCTTCGTGAAATGTGTTTCCATGGCCAAGCAGCCGCACACAAGCCTAAGATCACCATGCGCAAGTGTCGGCTGTAGTGGTGTGAAGCCTGCCGGCATTGGACTCCGGAGCAGTGGAAACGTGTTCTCTGGAGTAATGAATCATGCTTCACCATCTGGCAGTCCGACGGACAAATCTGGGTTTGGCGGATGCCAGGAGAACGCTACCTCCCCAAATGCATAGTGCCAACTGTAAAGTTTGGTGGAGGAGGAATAATGGTCTGGGGCTGTTTTTCATGGTTCGGGCTAGGCCCCTTAGTTCCAGTAAAGGGTAATCTTAACGCTACAGCATACAATGACATTCTAGACGATTCTGTGCTTCCAACTTTGTGGCAACAGTTTGGGGAAGGCCCTTTCCCGTTTCAGCATGACAATGCCCCTGTGCACAAAGCGAGGCCCATACAGACATGGTTTGTCGACATCGGTGCAGAAGAACTTGACTGGCCTGCACCGAGCTCTGACCTCAACCCCATCGAACACCTTCGGGATTAATTGGAATGCCAACTGCGAGCCAGGCCTAATCGCCCAACATCAGTGCCCGACCTTACTAATGCTCGTGGCTGAATGCAAGCATGTCCCTGCAGCAATGTTCCAACATCTAGTGGAAAGCCTTCCCAGAAGAGTGGAGGCTGTTATAGCAGTAAAGGGGGGACCAACTCCATATTAAGGCCCATGATTTTGGAATGAGATGTTCGACGAGCAGGTGTCCACATACTTTGGGTCATGTAGAGTACCTGAGAGGTAGATTAACCTAAATATAATCTTGTTATAGTTCTGTGGGTAGAATTACCCAAGAAGGTTGGTATACAGTGCATTCGGAAAGTATTCAGATCCCTTGACCTTTTCCACATTTTGTTACAGCCTTATTCTGGAATGGAACCCGGAAATATCAAATTTACGTACGTTTTCAGACCCTTTACTCATTACTTTGTTGAAGCACCTTTGGCAGCGATTACAGCCTACTCTTCTTGGGTATGACGCTACAAGCTTGGTACACCTGTATTTGGGGAGTTTCTCCCATTCTTCTCTGCATATCCTCTCAAGCTCTGTCAAGTTGGATGGGGAGCGTTGCTGCACAGCTATTTTCAGGTCTCTCCAGAGATGTTCGATCGGGTTCAAGTCCGGGCTCTGGCTGGGCCACTCAAGGACATTCAGAGACTTGTCCCGAAGCTACTCCTGCATTGTCTTGGCTGTGTGCTTAGGGTCGTTATCCTGTTGGAAGGTGAACCTTCGCCCCAATCTGAAATCCTGAGTGCTCTGGAGCAGGTTTTCATCAAGGATCTCTCTGTACTTTGCTCCGTTCATCTTTCCCTCGATCCTGACTAGTTTCCCAGTCCCTGCCGCTGAAAAACCTCCCCACAGCATGATGCTGCCACCACCATGCTTCACCGTAGGGATGGTGCCAGGTTTCCTCCAGACATGACGCTTGGCATTCAGGCCAAAGAGTTCAATCTTGGTTTCATCATATCAGAGAATCTTGTTTCTCATGGTCTGAGAGTCCTTTAGGTGCCTTTTGGCAAACTCCAAGCGGGCTGTCATGTGCCTTTTACTGAGGAGTGGCTTCAGTCTGGCCACTCTACCATGAAGGCCTGATTGGTGGAGTGCTGCAGAGATGGTTGTCCTTCTGGAAGGTTCTCCCATCTCCACAGAGGAACTCTAGAGCTCTGTCAGTGTGACCATCGGGCTCTTGGTCACCTCCCTGACCAAGGCCCTTCTCCCCCGATTGCTCAGTTTGGCCGGACAACCAGCTCTAGGAAGAATCTTGGTGGTTCTAAACCTCTCATTTAAGAATGATGGAGGCCACTGTGGACCTTCAATGCTGCAGAAATGTTTTGGTACTCTTCCCCAGATCTGTGCCTCGACACAATCCTGTCTCGGAGCTCTACGGACAATTCCTTCAACCTCATGGCTTGGTTTTTGCTCTGACATGCACTGTCAACTGTGGGACCTTATATAGACAGGTGTGTGCCTTTCCAAATCATGTCCAATCAATTGAATTTACCACAGGTGGAATCCAATCAAATGTAGAAACATCTCAAGGGTGATCAATGGAAACAGGATGCACCTGGGCTCAATTTCGAGTCTCATAGCAAAGGGTCTGAATACTTATGTAAATAAGGTTTCTGTTTTTTATTTGTAATACATTTGCAAAAAAATTAAATACATGTTTTTGCTCTGTCATTATTGGGTATTTTAATCAATTTTAGAATAAGGCTGTAACGTAACAAAATTTGGAAAAAGTCAAGGGGTCTGAAAACTTTCAGAATGCATTGTGCATACAGTTCAACGCCCCAACGCAATGCTTCAGAAAGCAAGGTTGAAACAAAATAAATCCTGGTTGTTTTTGTGCCATTTCGGTTATGCATGCCTTAGATATTTGAATCGGTGTTCCACAAGACCGGTCTGTATGGCTAACTGGGTTTGTTTACCTGTCTGGATCTTGACACGGTGCAGCTTGGAGGTGAACTGGTCATTGACGGTGAACACGTGGCCGTTCTCGATCTCCTTGGATTTGGGCTCTTTGGTGAGGACGCGCTGGGTGGGCTTCCCGCAGGCCAGTGACTGCAGCGCTCGCACCAGCTCCCTCTCCGGAATGTCTGTCTCCTGCTGGATCTCCTACACAGCAGAGAGTGAGAGATGGGGACAAAGAGGAGAGAGGGAGATGAGGCAGAGCGATCCTTTGATCCATGACTGCACTATACTGAAACCAAATAATACATTATGTTTATAGAGAAACAAGAGTGTATAACTTTTTCTATTCAATATAACTTTATTTATCCCCTCAGGGAAAGACATTGCCAGACCACAAACATCAACATCCTGCACATATAAAGACATCACATTGCCCAAATACAGCCCCCCTTACAAACTTTAATTTATTCAGTGAGGGGCTACGCATTCAATTCAGGGCTGTACCTCAAACATGGACTTCTCCCGGTTGTTGAAGAGCATTAGTATTGTCATCTGGAAGGTGGACACCTGCAGTATGTGCTTCCTGGTGTTGGAGCCTGTTACCTGGGCGCCGCCCACCCCCACCTCTGAGCCGTCCTCCTGGGGGGAGAGGAGATGAGAGAGTGGTCACCACCGGCCGCCTTCAGGTAACTCAGTCACACAGGAGTAATCATCAATGCAGCCTCTGTTCAATCACTAACTATGTCATGCTTATGTAAACACAAATGTGTGAAATGTTAATAGCTTAGCCTCACCCCCCACACATCCCTGATACACCTGCTGTTATCAAGGCCTGATGTTGACATTACTGGTGTGTGTGCGTGCATCAGTCTGCCTGCCAGCCAGTCAGTCAGGCAAAGGCTGTCCCCTGCATACCTTTTTGATTGGGCCGTAGAAGGTGGCGTTGAGGTCTGCAGAGCCCATGTGATGCTGCAACGTGAGCTGCCTGCCGCTGTGCTTGGCCAGATAAAATCTATGGCCGCAGAGCCAGAGAGGACAGTCACACGCTACAGCGTTAAAGATAAACACAGACAAACGATGCACAGAGCCCCGCTTCCATAACCTGCAGCAGAGAATATATGGCCTTTGCTATGCAAAGTAAATTAGATACAGTGAAGGACAAGGAGGAGATCGACAAACCTTCTAAAGACTTCAAATGCATGTCGAGGCGAAGGGGGGATATTACATTTGGGCGTGGCGGACTGCGTTGGCCAGTAACCTGTAGTCAATACCCTCACTGTGAGATCAACTCCGCCCAACGACACCTGGGGATGAAAGTTTGATCTACGTCTTTCACTGAGGTTCCCAACGGTCAGAATGACTATCAAAAGCTTCACACGATGTGCTCTTCGCTTTGAGCGAGCAATGGCTAGGTTAAATCTTTTTGTTAGTTGGACAAACTCCCCATGGGAGTTTTTGTAGGGTTTTTTGATAAACGCCGAAAATAAGGTCTGTGGTAAACACAGGCTTAGGAGATCTTATACGTTTTGTTCTATGAGCTAATCTTCATCAGCTAACATCACTTTTTGTGAATGTTTAAGCGTTTATGTAATAAAAAGAGCACATAAAAGGCTTCATAATTCATAAATGTCATGTTGACGGACCGATATTATCTCATAGAAAAAAAAACATATACGATCTCCTAAGCCTGTGTTAACCTCAGACCTTATTTTCAGAGTTTATCCCAAAACCATTTTCTTTCCCCTTAGGAATGGCTGAACGAACCAGAAGTAACTAATTTCTGTTTTTTTAGGACTACAAGCTGGCGAGCTCTATGTTCCCCAGAACCAACACTGGACTGGTTCTGGGAGTGTGTCTCTGTGTCTCACCGCTGTTGACTGTAGGTGTTGGCGGAACTCGTCCATGGTTGTGTTTGAGATGCTCATGTCCCGGAACATGCCTTCCAGTTTGGAGGTGAACTGGCAACCACACTCCGTCTGGCCAGGGGAACCAGAGAAAGAGCGAGAGGAAGAGAGAGCGTGAGACAGATCTATTAAACAACACTTCACTTGCGCTATCCGTTTCTGTCACACTGACTCTCCACTCAGCTGAGCTGTAGTTCAACACAGAGTTTCTGTGCAGTTCAATTTCAAAATGTATTGCCATGTGTAAAGTACCAGACCTGGGATCAAAATACAATTCAAAATAATTTCAAAAACTTTAGCGTTGCTAGCTTGAGGTTGCCTGTTGCAATTGAACCAATCAAAAAGCACCAAAAGTGCAAACCCCTCCAACATGGCACCCCAAGCAGGCTAAAGCAAACGCTCAAAGTATATGAAATATTTGAAATAGTATTTGAACACAAGGTCGCACTTATTAGGTATTGAAGGTGCTACAATATACCTGAAACAAACAGTTGATGAATGTGTTAATGGATGGAAGATCTTAAGATATGTAGCTACTGCTCTTCCTCAGTCTCCTCACCTTGAGCTTAGAGATCATGTTCTTCTCCGAGTCGTCCGAGACGCTCTTGTTGGTGAGCAGCCTCCTGGCTAGGTGCTGTTTGTAGTACCTCTCAAACACATCCTTCTCCTGCATGAACCTGAAGAGCACCATGGCCTTGTCCAGGATCGACTCCACCTCCTGCTCCGTCAACTACACACACAGGACGAGAGGAAAGCGAGCGTTACACGAGCACACACACACTTTAAATTATTACATTTCAAACACTGATTTAATTAAATATATTGAACTCCTTATACAGTGAGCTCCAGAAGTATTGGGACAGTGACATATTTTGTTGTTTTGGCTCTGTACTCCAGCATAGAACAGGTTTCTAAACACTTCTACATTAATTTGGATGCTACCATGATTACAGATAATCCTGGATGAATCATGAATAATGATGAGTGAGAAAGATAGATGCACAAATATCATACCCCCTAAAAATGCTAACCTCCATTATTCACGATTCATCCAGGATTATCCGTAATCATGGTAGCATCCACATTACTGTAGAAGTGTTTAGAAACATATTCTATTCTTATTTACAATAAAAGTGATCCCAAAATGACACAATACATTATTTACCATTCATTTCTATTGGGCACAAAATCATCTGAAACACAATGCATCCAACAAATGTGTAGAGTCACAAGCTTGATGTAGTCATTGCGTGCTATGAATATGGGCCCAAATACTGAACTTTTAATACACATAAGTGAATTTGTCCTAATACTTTTGTTCCCCTAAAATGGGGGGACTATCTACAAAAAGTGCTATAATTTCTAAATGGTTCACCCGAATTAAAGCTGACAGTCTGCACTTTAACCTCATAGTTATTGTATCATTTCAAATCCAAAGTGCTGGAGCCAAAACAACAACAAATGTGTCACTGTCCCAATACTTCTGAAGCTCACTGTATATCGATTGACATTTAAATACATTAACTTATTATAATTCAAAATGAGTGATGAGGTCAAGCTTTCATTCTTCCGGGCTGTTGTTCAGGAACAATGACAGAAAACAACCCTCTCCTATTAGTCTACAGTACAACAGTTTACGGTGATGTCAATAGGATGCTCACGAAGTAGGATTGAATCTCATCTCGTAACCTCATCACCGTCTCAGCACGAGCTGAGACAGTCTACTCAGCACTGGGACTCAAATGGCACCTATTCCTTATATAGTGCACTACTTTTACCAGGGCCCATAGGGTGCTGGGCCCTGGTCAAAAGTAGGGCACTATGTAGAGAATATGGTGTCATTAGGGACGAAGCCTGTGTGCCCTGAGGGGAGGACTTTATTCCCCCATTACATCAGAAAACCACTCACTCCTTTTACGCCTTTCTTCAGCTTGTCGTCGATGAACAAGGAGAGGTACTCGGGGGAGCGCGAGTTGAGGTTGAGGAAATATTCAAAGTCCCCTGCGATGGTCTGCTTGAAGAGCCGGTCGTTGTTGAACGACTCTAGGAGGAAGCGGTCGAAACGCGACTTCAGATCCAACAGACCCTGCAGAGAAAAAAAACGGAGGAAGGAAGAAAACGTGACATCATTATTGGAAAGCAGTGGCACTTACTACATGCTCTTGTGTACGCTGCCATCTAGTGTCAATATGGATTATCACAACAGAAATTGCGTCCCTGTTGTGGATTTAAAAGCATTGGATCAGTGTAAGCATTCGCTGGAGTTTCCACTATTGTTAAATCTATGACAGGAACGTAGCCAGAGATCAATCTTTAGTACACCCCTCTGCCCCGTGTCAATGATGTCACTTCCTGTGTGAGTTACCTGGATGTAATCTACAGGGTTTTTGCCTTCGCCCTCCTCTGACACCAGCGCCTTGCCCTGCTCGCGGAGGTAGGAGCTCATGCACTCACACATGGTCTTCAGTCCGTTTGGCACTCTGCTAAAGAGCTTATACATACACGCCAGGTCTGCGTTCGTTCGCGTACGTACACACACACACACACACACACACACACACACACACACACATTAGTATCCAAAGACCACCCCACCACACGGAATACATTTCACAAGAAATATTGAATTGCTGACATTGATATGGCAAGGGTGGTACCAAGTATGCACACGATAACAACACAGATTCACACAATATACATTACTCAATTATTCTGCAAACGTCTGACAAACTTTAACATCGGGGTAAAATATCCTTTTCATGAAAAAAGAAAGGGTATATGTCCCAAATGGCACCCTATGCCCTACATAGTGCACTACTTTTGACCAGAGCCCTATCGGCCCTGTCAAAAGTAGTTCACTGCATAGGGAATAAGGTGCCATTTGGGACACATGCCATAGCTGGGACTGTAGTAGTAGTAGTGTGGCAAACTGACCCTCTGTCTTTCCGTTCTTGAGCATGTGGACGAGGCCCGAGTTCTCCATCTCCACGATGGTCTTCATGTGCTTGGAGATGAGCTCCCGCTCCACCACCTTGACGATGGGCTCCTCCGTCGTCTTGTCCAGGCAGTGCAGCACACGCTCGATCTCCTCATTTATCCGCGCCTCCACTTTCTTTATGTACACGCTTGCGCTGTTCTCTGCCAAAAACTTTTGACTTTCCATCTGGAGGGCAAACAAACACGGGGTTAGGAGCACCTTGGGTGATTGAGAGGGCATACACATTATGTATATAACATGATAGTAGGTGAACAACATATCACTGCAAGCGAATTAAATGTGTGAATAGATGGGTGGGGGGAGGGATTCTTACAAACCTGGAAGAACTCTGCAGACATTTCTAAAAACGGGGCCTCAAAGTCCTCTTCGTAAACAGACCTCCCTTCGAGGCCTAAGATCATTAACATCTGGCAGGCATTTCTGATCGCCCCCCTGATAGAGAGATCGAGAGAGAGAGAGAGTCAAGTACAGTTGAATCCCAAATTGCATTCTATTATGGGCCTTGGTCAAAAGTAGTGCACTGAGTGTACATAACATTAGGAACACCTGCTTTGTCCATGATATAGACTGACCAGGTGAATCCAGGTGAAAGCTATTTTCCCTTATTGATGTCACTTGTTAAATCCACTTCAATCAATGTAGATGAAGGGGAGGAGGCAGGTTAAAGAAGGATTTTTAAGCCTTGAGAAAATTGAGACATGGATTGTGTATGTGTGCCATTCAGAGGGTGAATGGGCAAGACAAAATATTTAAGTGCCTTTGAACAGGGTATGGTAGTAGGTGCCAGGCGCACCGGTTTGAGTGTGTCAAGAACTGCAACGCTGCTGGGTTTTTCACACTCAACAGTTTCCCATGTGTATCAAAAATGGTCCACCACCCAAAGGACATCCAGCCAACTTGTGGGAAGCATTGGGGTCTAAATGGACCAGCATTCCTATCGAAAGCTTTCGATGCCTTGTAGAGTCCATGCCCAGACGAATTGAGGCTGTTCTGAGGGCAAAAGGGGGTGCAACTAAATATGATCAATGTTTTGTGTATATGGTGCCATTTAGGTCTGGGTCAGCTCAAAGACTGTAACAGATACTTTTTAAATGTAACAAAGAGCACAATGAAATAATCATGGATTAGGGTTGTGATTTTCTTTATCGGGAGAAACACTGCTTCCTTCAGCTCAGAAACTGTGGCTCTGTTCAAATTCCTTCAAAGTGCATCCTTCCTTCCTCCCTCCCTTCCTTGAAACAGTCAATGCTTAGACCTGACTGGACAGATGAACGCAAGCGTTCCACCCAATGTCTTTCACTTGTCTAGTCATTTCTAGTGATTCCACTTGTCTAGTCATTTCTAGTGATTCCACTTGTCCAGTCATTTCAGTGATTCCTTCAACGAAGCTAGGAGTTTGTGCACTTTTATAGAAGTCGAACGGGGCCTGTGTATAGACGGGGTCATATTATTATACCTATCCACCACCTCGCCCTTCCTCTCCCGTGCGATCATGTCCAGGAGGGTCTGTCGGAGGTGGTCTCGGATGCAGCCATAGCGCACCACCTGGTCTCTGAAGATGATCAGGCCCAGGTTGTAGACGTTCTCCACGCTGTTCTGCTGCACGTACACCCGGTCCTGGGAAACAAGAGGAAGAGAGGGGGAAGCTTTGTCAGTCAAGGTTGATCTTGGGTTAAGGTTTGCATTTACCCCACTAATGGTTATGGTTAGGATTGGGAAGCTGATCTGTACTTAAGGGAAACTTCACCCCGGAGCACGTTTGAGACCTGCAGCCAGGAAGCAATGCATTGCCAGTCCAAGGGAGGGTTACGTGACGATACTGTATTGAGAAATACAGTCAAATCCTAATAACTAAGAAGAGTGCACGTCCGATAAGCACAAATTGTACTTATGTTAGCAGTTATGTTTTCTAAAAGTGTGATGATGCAGAACACATCATATGATGCAAAACGTAGCATCACTTTTAGATTTTTACTTAAAGTGCTCTATCTTGAAAACGTATCTGACTGGATCAACAGTGGACGAATGAACAAAATACTAAAATATATATATTTTTTTATTCTATGGCAGCCATGTTAGCGCCCCATTAACATTACATGGGGAATATTAAAATAATGCTATGTAACTGTATGTCTAGAATCAAAACAATATTCAAAATTCTAAAAGTTGGCCCAACTCTCTAAATCCATGGCTCTGGTAGCTGGTGGTGCCGCTCACCATGTACATGAGGATGTCTCTGATCATGACCATGGCCGTCTGGTGGTCGTTCCAGGCTTGGTTCAGTGTTTGGAGGAAGTTGTTGTTTAGTGAGTTGAGGACATCTTCCCGTACCTGTGGGGAAGCAGCAGCACAGTCAGACAGAGAGGCATTCGTTTGATACTACACCAACACCACACTGATGAATCAGCACACTGAGCCCATCTCGCTTTCTCTGCATGACACACGCTCTGTCTGTGAGCCTCTCCCTCCACAAGCTCCTCTCTCTGAGTGTGTCCCCTTCACTCTCTGCATGGGACTCTAGAGGACACTGTGCTGATCAACTCCAGGCAGAGAGACGTCATCGTCATCCATTTAGTGAAACAGTGCCCAGCATACTGACTCACACACACTAACTCAATGGAAAGTGAACTCTTAGCTCACTATAACCACACACTGATGAATATGTTGTCCTTATGTCTAGTAGCCTAAAACACCATCATCCAAATGTAAGACTTTCGAAAACATTGTTCAAAACACAAAAAGACCAATCCATCAATGGCAGCTGCTTTGATTTGCACAAGATTGTTAATATTGAGTAAATCCAGTTGAATTCAATCCCTTTTTGACAGCCCCCCTTTTGATTTAAACAAAACCTTCCATGCATATTTACCCATTGTAGAAGTGCTCAGGTGGTGACTTCCTGGACCCGAATGCCAAAAATTCAAGAGATAAAAGCACTCAAAGTTGACCAATTTTTCATACCATACCATGAGACATCCGTGTCTTCATCACTGGAAAAGATAAATGGTTGAGATTTATATAATTTAAAAGCTTACAAACTGGGTTGTCAAACTATTTAATAACTTTTGGGGGGGGGGAAATTTATACAAATGGTCCTTTTTTAACCTTTAAAGGAGAATTTTCCTCTATTTTCGATATACAGTGCATTCGGAAAGTATTCAGTCCCCTTCCCCTTTTCCACATTTTGTTACATTACAGCCTTATTCTAAAATGGATGAAAGTATTTTCCCCCCTCATCAATCTACATACAATACCCCATAATGACAAAGCGAAAACAGGTTTTTAGAATGTTTTGCAAATTTATAAAAAAAATGAAAAACAGAAATACCTTATTTACATTAGTATTCAGACCCTTTGCTATGGAAAAGGCACACACCTGTCTATATAAGGTCCCACAGTTGACAGTGCATATCAGAGCAAAAACCAAGCCACGGGGTTGAAGGAATTGTCCATAGAGCTCCGATACAGGATTGTGTCGAGGCACAGATCTGGGGAAGGGCACCAAAAAATGTCTGCAGCATTGAAGATCCCCAATAACACAGTGGCCTCCATCATTCTTAAATGGAAGAAGTTTGGAACCACCAAGACTTTTCCTAGAGCTGGCCCCACTGCCAAACTGAACAATCAGGGGAGAAGGGCCTTGGTCAGGGAGGCGACCAAGAACCTGATGGTCACTGACAGAGCTCCAGAGTTCCTCTGTGGAGATGGGAGAACCTTCCAGAAGGACAACCATCTCTGCAGCACTCCACCAATCAGGCCTTTATGGTAGAGTGGCCGGATGGAAGCCACTCCTCAGTAAAAGGCACATGACAGCCCGCTTGGAGTTTGCCAAAAGGCACCTAAAGGACTCAGACCATGAGAAACAAGATTCTCTGATCTGATGAAACCAAGATTCACGTCTGGAGGAAACCTGGCACCATCCCTACGGTGAAACATGGTGGTGGCAGCATCATGCTGTGGGGAGATTTTTCAGCGGCAGGGACTGGGAGAATAGTCAGGATCGAGGGAAAGATGAACGGAGCAAAGTAGAGAGAGATCCTTGATGAAAACCTGCTCCAGAGCGCTCAGGACCTCAGACTGGGGCGGAAGGTTCACCTTCCAACGGGACAACGACCCTAAGCACACAGCCAAGACAACGCAGGAGTGGCTTCGGGACAAGTCTCTGAATGTCCTTGAGTGGCTCAGCCAGAGCCCGGACTTGAACCCGACCGAACATCTCCAGAGAGACCTGAAAATAGCTGTGCAGCGACGCTCCTCATCCAACCTGACAGAGCTTCAGAGGAACTGCAGAGAAGAACGGGAAAAACTCCCCAAATACAGGTGTGCCAAGCTTGTAGCGTCATACCCAAGAAGACTTGAGGCTGTTATCGCTGCCAAAGGTGCTTCAACAAAATAAAGGGTCTGAATACTTACAGTACCAGTCAAAAGTTTGGACACACCTACTCATTCCATGGTTTTTCTTAATTTTTTAAACTATTTTCTACATTGTAGAATAATAGTGAAGACATCAAAACTATGAAATAACACATATGGAATCAAGTGTTAAACAAATCAAAATATATTGTATATTCTTCAAAGTAGCCACCCTTTGCCTTGATGACAGCTTTGCACACTCTTGGCATTCTCTCAACCAGCTTCATGAGGAATGCTTTTCCAACAGTCTTGAAGGAGTTCCCACATATGCTGAGCACTTGTTGGCTGCTTTCCCTTCACTCTGCGGTCCAACTCATCCCAAACCATCTACATTGTGTTGAGGTCGGGTGATTGTGGAGGCCAGGTCTTCTGATGCAGCACTCCATCACTCTCCTTATTGGTCAAATAGCTCTTACACAGCCTGGAGGTGGTTTTGGGTCATTGTCCAGTTGAAAAACAAATTATAGTCACACTAAGCGCAAACCAGATGGGATGGCGTATCGCTGCAGAATGCTGTGGTAGCCATGCTGGTTAAGTGTGCCTTGAATTCTAAATAAATCACAGACAGTGTCACCAGCAAAGCACCCCCACAGCTCCTGCTTCTCGGTGGGAACCACAAATGCAGAGATAATCCGTTCACCTACTCTGCGTCTCACAAAGACACGGCAGTTGGAACCAAAAATCTCAAATTTGGACTCATCAGACCAACGAACAGATTTCCACCGGTTTAATGTCCATTGCTCGTGTTTCTTGGCCCAAGCAAGTCTCTTCTTATTGGTGTCCTTTAGTAGTGGTTTCTTTGCAGCAATTCGACCATGAAGGCCTGATTCACAAAGTCTCCTCTGAACAGTTGATGTTGAGATGTGTCTGTTACTTGAACTCTGTGAAGCATTTATTTGGACTGCAATTTGAGGTGCAGTTATTCTAATGAACTTATCCCCTGCAGCAGAGGTAACTCTGGGTCTTCCTTTCCTGTGGCGGTCCTCGTGAGAGCCAGTTTCATCGTAGCGCTTGATGGTTTTTACGAATGCACTCGAAGAAACTTTCAAAGTTCTTGACATTTTCTGGATTGACTGACCTTCATGTAATGATGGACTGTCATTTCTCTTTGCTTATTTGAGTTGTTCTTGCAATAATATGGACTTGGTCTTTTACCAAATAGGGCTATCTTCTGTATACCACCCCTACCTTCTCACAACACAACTGATCATTAAGAAGGAAAGAAATTCCACAAATTAACTTTTAACAAGGCACGCCTGTTAATTGAAATGCATTCCAGGTGAACCTGGTTGAGAGAATGCCAAGAGTGTGCAAAGCTGTCATCAAGGCAAAGGGTCGCTACTTTGAAGCATCTAATATATATTTTGATTTGTTTAACACTTTTTTAGTTACTACATGATTCCATTTGTGTTATTTCATAGTGTTGATCTCTTCACTATTATTCTACAATATAGAAAATAGTAAAAATAAAGAAAAACCCTGGAATGAGTAGGTGTGTCCAAACTTTTGACTGGTACTGTATGTAAATGTGATGTTTCAGTTATATTTTTAATACATTTATAAACATTTCTAAAAACCAGTTTTTGCTTTGTCATTAAGGGGTATTGTATGTAGATTGATGAGGGGGAAAAACCATTTAATCCATTTTAGAATAAGGCTGTAATGTAACAAAATGTGGAAAAAGTCAAGGGGTCTGAATATTTTTCTAATGCACTGTAAATGGCATGTTATAGAAAGGTCAGACACTTTTTTTTGGGGGGGGGGGCTTGTTTGTTTTCTTAAAAATACCCCAGCTGCAATAAACTTCCTCATTGTTCGTTGTACCGTTTCAGGGAACGCAAAATACATTAACAAAAGCTCAAAAAACACCTAAATATGTCCTTGTAGAAAAGGACATGCTCTCAGTATAGTGATGTAGGTCTTTAGATTCCGAACTTTATCCTCAACGGTACAAGTCGCGCTGTTGCCCCACGCAGTTGTGCCGGCCCGAGCGTGTCCCTATAGTACACGGGCACAGCCCGCGCAGCACATCTGGTAGAATAAACGTATCGAGTCATACAAAATGGAATATAACGTTGCGGATAAACTTCGGAATGACACAATTTAATGTGTACTACATCACTATACTGAGAGCATGTCCGTTTCTACAAGGACGTATTTGGGTGTTTGAGCTTTTGTTAATGTCTTTTGCGTGCCTTGATACTTACTGCAATATGTAACTTTTTGGCTGACCCAACAAAATTCACATAGAAATGTTTGTTAATGATCTGTCATTGAAAGAAAGTGTAAGAAGTGGTAGATCTGTTGTGTGTGTATTTCTATGCATCCCGTCTTTAAGTTTAGTTTTTGCGTCTTTTACTTTCGGTTTTGTACACCAGCTTCAAACAGGTGAAAATACAAAATGTTGTGATATGGAAAATATATTTGCTAGCGGTTTAGATGGTACAATGATTCTCAACACTATACTTGCTTGTTTTGTCAGAAACTGAAATTACGCGAACTATTAGAATTTTAGCAACCAGGAAATGGCGGAGCGATTTCTGCATAGTGCATCTTTAAATTGTAAAAATGATGTATAGGGTTGGGGCGGGATCCAGATTTTCATACAAATCCTGTACCATGCCGGGGTATATGTGCACACACGGGGCACTATTTATTTCCAAAGGTAATTATTATTTATTTTTTTACAAATCGAGAGCTTGGGACTATACGGTTCTCTGAGAAAGAATATGATTGAGGTAATTGCCTTTAAAGTTCCAAACCCTCATTGGTTTGAATGGTGTCAGAAATGAATTGGGGTATTTAGAACACTATATAGGTAAAGAACTTTGAACAGAACATGCCTATGTCAATAACTCAATATTGACAAAAATGCATATAGAACCTTATAGTCCCAAGCTCTCGAAATGCTAACAAATTAGTAGTGAATTACCGTAGCTAGCTAAATGCTAACAAGCGCAAGCGAACAAACTATTTTAAGAATGGGGGCTTAGAGCTTTAGGGAGGCCCAGGGACGGTATTGAAAATCATACCTTTGTATTTCAAAATACCCTGGTATATCGCCCAAGCCTAATGGTGTACCAGCAAAATTTCAGTGGTCGGAAAGGATAGGCCCATTCTATTAATTATATTTCTATGATTTAAATGACACCCACCCTGTATTTAAGAGCATGTTGTGTCTCAACCAATGGCGGGCACAACACAAAAACCTCAGATTATGTGAAATAGGGTCTAAGCTACAATTTATGCAAATATGAAACAAATCAGAGTTTACAGATTTTTTAAATAATTGATGTGAAATGGTTAAAAAATGACAATTGTTATGCAAAAACTTTTCCCCAAGAACTGATCACAGTTTGACAAGACTAAGCTTTTAAATGATATCAAACTCAATCGTTTCTCTTTTCCAGTGATAAAGACATGGATGTCTCATAGTATGGTGGGGTATGCAAAATGGGTCAACTTTGAGCACCTTTATCTCCTGAATGTTTTGGCATTTAGGTCCAAAAAGTCACTTTATGACCCCTTCTTTCATGGGCAAACATGTATGGAAAGTTTTGTTTAAATCAAAAGGGATGCTGTCAAAAAGTGATTGAATTCAAATGGATTTACCCTATTACTCTGATTGCAAATGTGGGGGACAGGAACAGAACGTCAATGGGAGAGAATTTGTTTTAATTCTGAGATGCCAATTGGGTGGTGTGTTTTTTTTAAGGCCACTGCTGAAATATTGACATCCACAGCGAGGATTGGTCATCTCAAAAGGTAGACATGTCGCCCTACATAAGGCTGTTATGATGACCGTATTACAGCCACACTGGCAGTCATGACCGCAGTCATCTGATGCCTCTGATGGTCATTAGTAGCCTACCAAACATGCTAACGGCCAGACGCTAATGGCCGGTACTCAGCGCTCTATTGTCCCTCTAATCACTCTGACATCAATGCAAATGGTATCGAAAATCAAAATCAAACACTTCATGAGATCCCTGGTATTCAGAGTTTGAGCGGAGCCAGCTCCTCATAGGTAATAATAATAATAATAATAATAATAATAATAATAAGCATAGGTGGTTGATGCATGGAATGAAATAAGTTTTCCTGTTGTGCAACATTTCTATAGGCTATGCAATTGCGTGAGAAAACAGAGTTGATGGCCTCTATTAACAAAAGGAGAATCCCATCAGCTTTCTATAGGCTAGGCCTACTATATTTATTTCTTAACTTTCCAAATATAAAAACACTTTGCTTCGTTTTACAACCGGAGTAGCCTACCAGGCGGGCATGAAAATGAACCATGGGAAAAGCGTACTCATTTTCACATTTTACATTTTAGTCATTTAGCAGACGCTCTTATCCAGAGCGACTTACAGTTAGTGAGTGCATACATTTTTCACTCCAAGTGCATATGGATGACGTCTTTTTTACCCTGCCCCTGTTCCAACAGGTGCATGATAAATCGCCCATTCTAAATCAAAACTAATTTCACACATTATTTAGTATATGTAAAGACAATATTAAATTGAGAATAGTTATCACTTGTGAATGATGCACAGCGCATTCATTTTTTAGTCGCATGCATCATGAAGCCTAGCCCATTGGCCTATATGTTTTGCTAAGGTTTGTATCATTACATTTACATCATTTAGCAGACGCTCTTATCCAGAGCGACTTACAAATTGGTGCATTCACCTTATAGCCAGTGGGATAACCACTTTATTTTTTATTTAAATTTTTTTTGGGGGGGGGATAGAAGGATTACTTTATCCTATCCCAGGTGTTCCTTAAAGAGGTGGGGTTTGAAATGTTTCCGGAAGGTGGTGAGTGAAAATGGGGTATCATCACAACTGAAGTGAACAAATAACTCCAAAACGTAGCCTATAGTGCCAAAACCCCTGAAACATGGTTGGAGAGCCCATAGCCTACAGAGCCTAGCAATCACACATGAAAACAGAGTTAACTGGCCACTATTTAATAAAAGCAGATCCCAGCTTTCTCGTGCTGCTATATTTATTGATCAAGTCTTACAAATTCAGCACATTAAATCCGCTTTACAAACAGTGTGGCATACCTGGCATATTAAAAAAGTAACTGCACAGAACCTCCATTCGCTATTCGAATGCAGGCTATGGACGATTTCTATTTTTTATTCCACACATAGGCTATATGTAAAGACCAGATTAAATTGAGAATAATGCGTGAGAATATTATCAAGTGCTTGTCAAATTGTGAATGAAATACTGATGAAGTGTTTGCAGCCTGCACAAGAAACAGAGCAGAGAGCTTCCCTTTCGTGAAATCATCATGTCACATCATGTATTAGAAATCAAAACATATAGCCTAACGTTTGTATCACACATTTTGCAGGTTTTCCTACTTACAAAGCATGTAGAGGTCTGTAATTTTATCATAGGTACACAAAAATCCAGAAAATCACATTGTATGATTTTTAAGTAATTAATTTGCATTTTATTGCATGACATAAGTATTTGATACATCAGAAAAGCAGAACTTAATATTTGGTACAGAAACCTTTGTTTGCAATTACAGAGATCATACATTTCCTGTAGGTCTTGACCAGGTTTGCACACACTGCAGCAGGGATTTTGGCCCACTCCTCCATACAGACCTTCTCCAGATCCTTCAGGTTTCGGGGCTGTCGCTGGGCAATCAGACTTTCAGCTCCCTCCAAAGATTTTCTATTGGGTTCAGGTCTGGAGACTGGCTAGGCCACTCCAGGACCTTGAGAGGCTTCTTACGGAGCCACTCCTTAGTTGCCCTGGCTGTGTGTTTCGGGTCGTTGTCATGCTGGAAGACCCAGCCACGACCCATCTTCAATGCTCTTACTGAGGGAAGGAGGTTGTTGGCCAAGATCTCGCGATACATGGCCCCATCCATCCTCCCCTCAATACGGTGCAGTCGTCCTGTCCCCTTTGCAGAAAAGCATCCCCAAAGAATTATGTTTCCACCTCCATGCTTCACGGATGGGATGGTGTTCTTGGGGTTGTACTCATCCTTCTTCTTCCTCCAAACACGGCAAGTGGAGTTTTGACCAAAAAGCTCTATTTTTGTCTCATCAGACCACATGACCTTCTCCCATTCCTCCTCTGGATCCTCCAGATGGTCATTGGCAAACTTCAGACGGGCAGGGGGACCTTGCGTGCGCTGCAGGATTTTAATCCATGACGGCGTAGTGTGTTACTAATGGTTTTCTTTGAGACTGTGGTCCCAGCTCTCTTCAGGTCATTGACCAGGTCCTGCCGTGTAGTTCTGGGCTGATCCCTCACCTTCCTCATGATCATTGATGCCCCACGAGGTGAGATCTTGCATGGAGCTCCAGACCGAGGGTGATTGACCGTCATCTTGAACTTCTTCCATTTTCTAATAATTGCGCCAACAGTTGTTGCCTTCTCACCAAGCTGCTTGCCTATTGTCCTGTAGCCCATCCCAGCCTTGTGCAGGTCTACAATTTTATCCCTGATGTCCTTACACAGCTCTCTGGTCTTGGCCATTGTGGAGAGGTTGGAGTCTGTTTGATTGAGTGTGTGGACAGGTGTCTTTTATACAGGTAACGAGTTCAAACAGGTGCAGTTAATACAGGTAATGAGTGGAGAACAGGAGGGCTTCTTAAAGAAAAGGTCTGTGAGAGCCGGAATTCTTACTGGTTGGTAGGTGATCAAATACTTATGTCATGCAATAAAATGCAAATTAATTACTTAATCATACAATGTGATTTTCTGGATTTTTGAAAATCTTTGGAGGGGAGCTGAAAGTCCGTATTGCCCAGCGACAGCCCCGAAACCTGAAGGATCTGGAGGAGGTCTGTATGGAGGAGTGGGCCAAAATCCCTGCTGCATTGTGTGCAAACCTGGTCAAGACCTACAGGAAATGTATGATCTCTGTAATTGCAAACAAAGGTTTCTGTACCAAATATTAAGTTCTGCTTTTCTGATGTATCAAATACTTATGTCATGCAATAAAATGCAAATGAATTACTTAAAAATCATACAATGTGATTTTCTGGATTTTTGTTTTAGATTCCGTCTCTCACAGTTGAAGTGTACCTATGATAAAAATTACAGACCTCTACATGCTTTGTAAGTAGGAAAACCTGCAAAATCGGCAGTGTATCAAATACTTGTTCTCCCCACTGTAGGAGGACCTGTTTCTTTGTTAACCGCTCAACAAAGAATAGCCGCATGTGTGCACTCCCTAAAATCGTTTGGAGAAAAATATCCTTTCTATTTTATTCCTGTTCAATTATATTGTTCTTTCTTTTCGCATCAATTACTGTGAGACCGTCAGTTATTTGAATGACAATCACCCGGCTGACAAAATTGTATGACCGCCACAGCCCTAGCCCTGCATAGATATCCCGTCTGGACTACTGCAACTCGCTGTTGGCTGGCCTCCCTGCCTGTGCCATTAAACCCCTACAACTCATCCAGAATGCCGCAGCCCGTCTGGTGTTCAACCTTCCCAAGTTCTCTCACGTCACCCCCCTCCTCCGCACACTCCACTGGCTTCCAGTTGAAGCTCGCATCCGCTACAAGACCATGGTGCTTGCCTATGGAGCAGTGAGGGGAACGGCACCTCTGTACCTTCAGGCTCTGATCAGTCCCTACACCCAAACGAGGGCATTGCGTTCATCCACCTCTGGCCTGCTGGCTCCCCTTCCTCTGCGGAAGCATAGCTCCCGCTCAGCCCAGTCAAAACTGTTCGCTGCTCTGGCACCCCAATGGTGGAACAAGCTCCCTCACGACGCCAGGACAGCGGAGTCACTCACCACCTTCCGGAGACATTTGAAACCCCACCTCTTTAAGGAATACCTGGGATAGGATAAAGTATTCCTTCTAACCCCCCCCCCCCCCCAAATTGTAAAGTGGTTATCCCACTGGCTATAGGGTGAACGCACCAATTTGTGAGTCGCTCTGGCTAAGAGCGTCTGCTAAATGACGTTAATGTGCCCTTGAGCAAGGCACTTAACCCTAATTGCTCCTGTAAGTCGCTCTGGATAAGAGCGTCTGCTAAATGACTAAAATGTAAAATGTAAATGTAAATATTTCATTGGCCCAGTAATGTCATTGCTCCAAATAGTTTGCAGACGCCATAGAAACCTGTCACGGTTTCAAGATAATCTGATGCTGCTTCCTGCTGCTACTCATTCAGTGGACTATGTTGGCCTACATGGTGTGTAGTATAAACAGGAATGTTATAGGGATCATGTGATACACAATCTATCCTCAGACAGATGTATAACTAATCACACAAACTCTTTCCCAAGGTCAAAGGCTATCACAATCACTGATTAAAGCACCAATAGGCAGATTGATCTGCTTCCTAGTACCTACAGTGGCTTGCGAAAGTATTCACCCCCTTTGGCATTTTTCCTATTTTGTTGCCTTACAACCTGGAATTAAAATGGATTTTTGGGGGGTTTGAATCATTTCATTTACACAACCTGCCTACCACTTTGAAGATGCAAAATATTTTTTGGGGGGTGAAACAAAAAAGAAATAAGACAAAAAAAACAACAGAAAACTTGAGCGTGCATAACTATTCACCCCCCCAAAGTCAATACGTTGTAGAGCCACCTTTTGCAGCAATTACAGCTGCAAGTCTCTTGGGGTATGTCTCTATAAGCTTGGCACATCTAGCCACTGGGATTTTTGCCCATTCTTCAAGGCAAAGCTGCTCCAGCTCCTTCAAGTTGGATGGGTTCCGCTGGTGCACAGCAATCTTTAAGTCATACCACAGATGTTCAATTGGATTGAGGTCTGGGCTTTGACTAGGCCATTCCAAGACATTTAAATGTTTCCCCTTAAACCACTCAAGTGTTGCTTTAGCAGTATGCTTAGGGTCATTGTCCTGCTGGAAGGTGAACCTCCATCCCAGTCTCAAATCTCTGGAAGACTGAAACAGGTTTTCCTCAAGAATTTCCCTGTATTTAGCGCCATCCATCATTCCTTCAATTCTGACCAGTTTCCCAGTCCCTGCCGATTAAAAACATCCCTACAGCATGATGCTGCCACCATGCTTCACTGTGGGGATGGTGTTCTCGGGGTGATGAGAGGTGTTGGGTTTGCGCCAGACATAGCATTTTCCTTGATGGCCAAAAAGCTCAAATTTAGTCTCATCTGTCCAGAGTACCTTCTTCCATATGTTTGGGGAGTCTCCCACATGCCTTTTGGCGAACACCAAACGTGTTTGCTTATTTTTTTCTTTAAGCAATGGCTTTTTTTCTGGCCACTCTTCCGTAAAGCCCAGCTCTGTGGAGTGTACGGCTTAAAGTGGTCCTATGGACAGATACTCCAATCTCCGCTGTGGAGCTTTGCAGCTCCTTCAGATGATCATGTGTCACATGATCATGTGTCAGATCATGTGACACTTAGATTGCACACAGGTGGACTTTATTTGACTAATTATGTGACTTCTGAAGGTAATTGGTTGCACCAGACCTTATTTAGGGGCTTCATAGCAAAGGGGGTGAATACATATGCACACACCACTTTTCCGTTATTTATTTTTTCAAATTTTTTGAAACAAGTTATTTTTTTCATTTAACTTCACCAATTTTGACTATTTTGTGTATGTCCATTACATGAAATCCAAATAAAAATCAATTTAAATTACAGGTTGTAATGCAACAAAATAGGAAAAATGCCAAGGGAGATGAATACTTTAGCAAGGCACTGTACACGATTGGACAAAACACAGAACAAAACCAAAAATACAAATCGTGTTTCACTCTCCGAAACAGGAGGCTTTTTCAATCAGCCGAGCTTGTCAAAGATCAGGACTGTGTGTGTGTGTGTACCATTACTGAAAGAGGGCTTTCAAATCTCCAGTCAGATGTCTATGGGCCATAGTGGAGCTGGACCTTCTGATAGCCCAATTCCTCAAACTTCTCTCATTTCATTTCCAACCACTAAATACAAGGCTGATGAATGAATGGGAGCAACTCATGTTTTCCGGATAGTTTTATTTGTTTTGCAAGTCCACCGCATCCAGCCATAGTCAGACAGATCCCCAGAGCTTTTCCACAGTAATAGGTTTAATATGAGCGCTCCACTTCATCATGCTGTCAGCATACCATACAGGCTTAATACTGTGAACAGGCCAATCACCCTGTAATTTAATATCGCCTGGATTCAAGTGACAGGCGTTCACAAGATTTGTTTCCTTGCTTTTCAACAATTAACGTAATTTTGTGGTCAAGCTGAGTAACATCCTGTGATCAAGCTCAGTGACTATTCCCCCGACTCCAGAGATCCTGCAAGTGTACTGACGGAAAATACGCTAAAGACCTGCCAATGATTTTATGACAGTGATTAATTCCACATACCCGCACAAATCCAGCAAAGGGGACGTTAATCCAGACCTGGGTCGTGTTCATGAGGCACCAAACGAAAGAAAACTGGCTGAAACAGGGAGGGACTACCTGGACTCGTCCAATAAGAAACACTCGTTTTCATTGTCTGTTGCTAAATGCTTTTAAAATGTTTTCTTGTCGCATGCCCTAATGAACAGCACCCAGTACTGAATCAACATCCCGACCTGCACTGGGATGAACACATTCATCTACCACCCTGCGTTCATTGGCCTTACTTTGTTGATGAGGTGCTCAGTGACCACCTCCCGGAGGCCCGTGTAGAGCTTCTCGCCGTGTTTGTGCAGCACCATGGTGTAGGCGTTCCTGTAGAGCTCCTCGAAGCTCAGCCCGCTGTTGTTCTTCCTCTGGATCTCCTGGATGGCGTTCTTCAGAAGGTCCCAGATGTTGTTGACATACTTTTCGTCCATCGTCATCTGCAGCGGACAAAGGAAGTAGGAGTGAGGTGAGAGCAGAGAAATGGACTGACAGGCCAAAGTTTCGGGGATCTTTGGCTCCCTCGTTTGAGGGAGAACTGGAGCAAAGCAGCTTGATAGACATCGTGTGCATAGACTCCATTTTTATCACAGTCTCCTGCTAGGCTAGCCTACTTCTTTAGGTCAGCAATAGCGAGAGAGACAAGTCTACACTTGCTGCACTTCTGCAACCCAAAACCCCCTACTTATTTAAAGAGTAGCCTATATTATGATGCAATATCTAACAGTGTGAGTGTAACATTGAGAAAATAACTGCTCCTCCTGAAAATACATGATTTATATTCCTACTTTTGACCCTATATGTAAAAGTATATAAAACAAATCACTGTGAGGGAAACTGAGTAGGTGTGTCCCCATTTGTGTTCCTTGTGATGAAGTAAGACTGCAGTACTGCAATATCATGACAATATTCCCAATAAGGTTCCATCCAGACCATAGCATGAATGAAAGTGCTTTATATTTTCCATATCATATTGTTCAGCGCCACCTCTAACTGTGCCTCGTAACATTTCCCTTTCCCCTAAATTCTCATTTTAACTGGACAGACAGTAATGGCACTGCAGCCAACCATCACACTCAGCTAAACATGGCCATATTCACAGCTTGATATGAATCCCTTGTCCCCTTTGGCTGTCACACTCAACCATGGCCTGTTAAACCTGGAGGCTCTCTAAAGTGAGGCTGGCCGAAAGCTGCCTACAAGGTGTCTGGATATGGCACCATCCCCATCCCACCATACTGGGGAGGAAGTGTAGTTCATCAACTGGAGGCACACACAGCATATGGATCTGTGCAAATCTGCTTTTTTATTTAAAATATTATTTCTCACTGATATTAAATATAAGGTATGTTTCGAGAACATTTTCGCAAGTGATTATTATTTACGTTTCTAAACTTTAAAACACAGCGTTGGAATTGTAGTTCACATAGAGCCAGCCGTGGGCGAAGGTTACCGCTGAAAACCCTATGGAGAGAAGCGTTTTCGAGAGCTAGGGGATCATTGAGGATTCAGTGGAGGCACATCCATCAGAACTGAATACTGATCTTCTGAATACTGATGTCATCCAATAGCTTTCTCCCATTAACTTTCGTCCATTAGACCTAGCTTTCAGCAAACTGTTTCCCAATTAAACTTAGGCTAGCTACTTCAATCTTGACAGACAAAGTAACTAACTAGCTATTACAGTCGATGCAAAATGTTAGGAAGTTATCTAGCAGTTAAAGTTAGTTGGGGTATCAATGTTTTATTGGCATGTATCAAAAAAACGTGAATCAGCAAACCATGTCATGCAAAATAACGTTACCCAACAACAATACTCTCCATCCCACCCGTTTCTGAATTGACCTAAATACAAAAAGTAATGAGGCCACAAAGCTACGATGCCAAATATTTACTTAACGTTAACTAGCTAAAGTTAGCTAGCTAGAAACCATTTTTTCCCCGGATAAAAATTAAAGTGTGTACAGTAGCTAGCTAATTAATAACTGTCTGACAACAACAGTAACGTTACTAACTAGCTAACGGTAGGTAGCTAGCAGTATGAGCTAGCAAGCAGCTATCCATAACCTCTAGTAGGAGGTAGTTAGCTACTTTGTTTACTGAAAGACCGGCCTTGCAAACTGCACTCCCCAGATAGCTAGTTACTCTAACCTCGGCGGTCCAGTCACCGACTGCTGGCAGGGACAGGTCCTATCAGCGGTGTGTACTTACAGGAAAGGCTCGTATCCTCATCTTGGTGTCCTTTTTGGTGCCGCCTTTGCTCAGATTGGACATGGTTACCTCGTCTGTGTGTTCTGTATTTACATTAAAATATTATCTGGTTAGGTACAGGGAAGTATACTTGTGGAACAGCTTCCACTCGACCTTCCTCGCTGCTCCGTAATTGGTTGTTGACAACCAAACGCCAATGTTGCTCTAACGTAGATCTCCACACACAGCAATGGCGGACTACCCAACTGCGCAGAGCTCAAACGCTGCAACTCACGCGAGACTAAGGGTATTGGGCTGGAGGGGGGTAATTTTCTGATTCATTAAATGTTTTGGTCAATAAATTCCATAGGGCTTTGCCCTATTATTAAGCTAGGTTTGTGTCTCAAATTGGGACTGGCCTTCGTCCATTTCTAAAATGCTGGGCTACAGAATGGATTTATTTGATAGGCCTATCAAATAGGTAAAATGATTAGGTAGGCTATTTCATGCACACTGTAATCATAATCATACACATGACACATCCAAATGCTTAATTGTTTTTATAGCGTACCACCCACTCCATCCCGGTTTCCTAGGAATTATTTCTCTCAGGCTCTGCCCTTGCATGTCTGCATCGGACATCACTTGGCCTTAATGGAGCAGCTACAGTGAGGGAAAAAAGTATTTGATCCCCTGCTGATTTTGTACGTTTGCCCACTGACAAAGAAATGATCAGTCTATAATTTTAATGGTAGGTTTATTTGAACAGTGAGAGACAGAATAACAACAAAAAAATCCAGAAAAACGCATGTCAAAAATGTTATAAATTGATTTGCATTTTAATGAGGGAAATCAGTATTTGACCCCCTCTCAATCAGAAAGATTTCTGGCTCCCAGGTGTCTTTTATACAGGTAATGAGCTGAGATTAGGAGCACACTCTTAAAGGGAGTGCTCCTAATCTCAGTTTGTTGCCTGTATAAAAGACACCTGTCCACAGAAGCAATCAATCAATCAGATTCCAAACTCTCCACCATGGCCAAGACCAAAGAGCTCTCCAAGGATGTCAGGGACAAGATTGTAGACCTACACAAGGCTGGAATGGGCTACAAGACCATCGCCAAGCAGCTTGGTGAGAAGGTGACAACAGTTGGTGCGATTATTCGCAAATGGAAGAAACACAAAATAACTGTCAATCTCCCTCGGCCTGGGACTCCATGCAAGATCTCACCTCGTGGAGTTGCAACGATCATGAGAACGGTGAGGAATCAGCCCAGAACTACACGGGAGGATCTTGTCAATGATCTCAAGGCAGCTGGGACCATAGTCACCAACAAAACAATTGGTAACACACTACGCCGTGAAGGACTGAAATCCTGTAGCGCCCGCAAGGTCCCCCTGCTCAAGAAAGCACATATACATGCCTGTCTGAAGTTTGCCAATGAACATCTGAATGATTCAGAGGAGAACTGGGTGATGTGAAGTGTTGTGGTCAGATGAGACCAAAATCGAGCTCTTTAGCATCAACTCAACTCGCCGTGTTTGGAGGAGGAGGAATGCTGCCTGTGACCACAAGAACACCATCCCCACCGTCAAACATGGAGATGGAAAGATTATGCTTTGGGGGTGTTTTTCTGCTAAGGGGACAGGACAACTTCACTGCATCAAAGGGACGATGGACGGGGCCATGTACCGTCAAATCTTGGGTGAGAACCTCCTTCCCTCAGCCAGGGCATTGAAAATGCGTTGTGGATGGGTATTCCAGCATGACAATGACCCAAAACACACGGCCAAGGCAACAAAGGAGTGGCTCAAGAAGAGGCACATTAAGGTCCTGGAGGAGCCAGTCTCCAGACCTTAATCCCATAGAAAATCTGTGGAGGGAGCTGAAGGTTTGAGTTGCCAAACGTCAGCCTCGAAACCTTAATGACTTGGAGAAGATCTGCAAAGAGGAGTGGGACAAAATCCCTCCTGAGATAATCCCTCCAAGAAACGTCTGACCTCTGTGATTGCCAACAAGGGTTTTGCCACCAAGTGCTAAGTCATGTTTTGCAGAGGGGTCAAATACTTATTTCCCTCATTAAAATGCAAATCAATTTATAACATTTTTGACATGCATTTTTCTGGATTTTGTTGTTGTTATTCTGTCTCTCACTGTTCAAATAAACCTACCATTAAAATGATAGACTGATCATGTCTTTGTCAGTGGGCAAACGTACAAAATCAGCAGGGGATCAAATACTTTCTTCCCTCACTGTATGTACCACCACCCTCTCAATATATATCATTAGTCAAATGCAGACTATACCACACCTCAGTTCTATCCAAATATAAAGATGGCAAGCATAGTTCTTCAACTTTTGATCACCTTACATGAGATTTTAACTACAGTCAGGCATTATTATGAGGTAAATATAATATAGGCCACCTTTGTGATGTCATATACAGTGGGGAGAACAAGTATTTGATACACTGCCGATTTTGCAGGTTTTCCTACTTACAAAGCATGTAGAGGTCTGTAATTTTTTATCATAGGTACACTTCAACTGTGAGAGACGGAATCTAAAACAAAAATCCAGAAAATCACATTGTATGATTTTTAAGTAATTCATTTGCATTTTATTGCATGACATAAGTATTTGATACATCAGAAAAGCAGAACTTAATATTTGGTACAGAAACCTTTGTTTGCAATTACAGAGATCATACATTTCCTGTAGGTCTTGACCAGGTTTGCACACAATGCAGCAGGGATTTTGGCCCACTCCTCCATACAGACCTCCTCCAGATCCTTCAGGTTTCGGGGCTGTCGCTGGGCAATACGGACTTTCAGCTCCCTCCAAAGATTTTCTATTGGGTTCAGGTCTGGAGACTGGCTAGGCCACTCCAGGACCTTGAGATGCCTCTTACGGAGCCACTCCTTAGTTGCCCTGGCTGTGTGTTTCGGGTCATTGTCATGCTGGAAGACCCAGCCATGACCCATCTTCAATGCTTTTACTGAGGGAATGAGGTTGTTGGCCAAGATCTCGCAATACATGGCCCCATCCATCCTCCCCTCAATACGGTGCAGTCGTTCTGTCCCCTTTGCAGAAAAGCATCCCTAAAGAATGATGTTTCCACCTCCATGCTTCACGGTTGGGATGGTGTTCTTGGGGTTGTACTCATCCTTCTTCCTCCAAACACGGCGAGTGGAGTTTAGACCAAAAAGCTCTATTTTTGTCTGATCAGACCACATGACCTTCTCCCATTCCTCCTCTGGATCCTCCAGATGGTCATTGGCAAACTTCAGACGGGCCTGGACATGCGCTGGCTTGAGCAGGGGGACCTTGCGTGCGCTGCAGGATTTTAATCCATGTCGGCGTAGTGTGTTACTAATGGTTTTCTTTGAGACTGT